CTGTGAGTGCTCTGAGCATTGGTAGTTTATTTAAAACAGATCTAGCATTTATGAGGATCAGGTAAAGATGAGATTTGAAATAGCATTTGAAGTATTTAAGTTCGTCAATCAGCCCCGAATATGGTTCAGCAGCCAGTAGTGCTGTTTGATATGACGATCCTATGTTAAGAGGAGTTTCAGTATCATGCTCATCTATGTCTATCGAGTTGGTGTGTGCTGTTTTCGGTGAAGAATTAAGCGTTGGAGTAGTGGATTTGCTATAGGCTACGGCATTTTTATTTTTAGTTAAGCTGGAAACATGGGTAGAGATCTTTATTTGACCTAAACTTGTGCATGTATCAGGTGTGCTTAATGGTTGCGGGTGAACTAGACTGTTCCTATATTCATGCAAAGGGGTCGCCAGCACTAGCGGTTTAGGAGTGTTAGCATCCCTACCAGCTGTTTTTTCAACGCTGACAGGGACGCAGGGGATAAAAAATGACTAGGACCTTGTGAAGACCATGGTTTATTATTACACCTATTGTTAGGTACTAGTTGTGCCCTTTTAAGGGTTTCGTGTGTACTGCTTTGTGGGTTAGTTCCCAGCAGACTTGTACCATATATCCGATCAAAATTTATTTGTGTGCCATACTGTGAACGCCCTGAGTTGTTGGTGGTCGAGATCTGACTATTGTCACTTGTACTATTGAGGGTGGCATTGTTTTGGCGTTGGTTATCAGTGTAGGCCATGGTGCTATTTCGCACGTTGTGGGTGCCAACACTATTGACCGTGGGGAATGTGGGCTTACTTATACTGCCATTGTTGTTGCTGGCATGATTTGGGGTCATATTCTTCTTTTTTTACCAATGAACTTATGGCTAGGAGAGGGCAGGGTTGACTTTCGGGGGATTTTGACTTTTTTCCGGGATTATTTAGTGACATGTCTATATCTACAGTGATAGGTGGTATGGTTTTATTGGCTATTTGGTTACAATCTTGTGGCTTTTCGGTTGGTGTCGCTCTCTGAGAAGATAATTCTGTGTGGTTTGAGAGGGGTGGTGCGGTGGATTCTACGGTATCTCTCAAAGGGTTGAGTATAATTGCTCCTCGCAATGTCCTATTGTTTATTCCATAGTTAGACTCAGTGTGATAATTATAAACGCGCCTTTCTGTGACGGTCTTGTCCACCGCAACCCTTACTAGTTTATAATTTCTGGCTTGCGATAGGGTGTGTTGGGAGTGGATAAATTTTCTGGCCTCAGCCGGTGTTTCGAACTGAAAACGAATAGGACAACACTTTTCATGTTGACTCTTCTTCAGCCTGTAGCACTTAGTCTTGGAGTTGGGCATTTTCGCCTCACTAAGTAAGATGCGCTGTACCTTTTTTAGTGCCTCATTGTCCGGAACGTTGTAGACAATAGCATTTAATTTAGCATCTAGTCGTTTTGTTACTTCTGTAGTAACAAAGTTAATGAGGTTATCCATCTTAGATACCGATTCCTTGTCAAGTTTGTTAAGGTCTACTGTTGATAATGATAATAATAATGTATTTCATATAAATTTACAAATTTACATGAAAATGCATGCCATTTTTACAGGCACGATCAAGTATGATATAATATCAAATCGTAGATTGTCTACAAGTTAATCGTATTTCAACTGTTAAATATTCGATACATATAATACACTCATTTTCTGAATTAGGCCGTATAGTTATTGAATTGTACAGTTGTCCTCCAGGTTGAGCGGGAAAATCGACTTCGTTCCGTTTTCATCCCGTGGTTGTAGGCATACGATAACCAACCGATATTGAGGTAAGTACACCTTTTACAAGGGATTGGAATCTGTTTTAGAAAAATTAAAGTGCTGAGGTGAATCATTAAATTGTAATGAAATAGGTAAGTGCAAGTATCATTAATAAATGCATTAATAAAGGAAACACCCTAGGGTAACAACATTCATTTGCAATGTATAATGCTACAGATATATCACAAACTATCATGATATCCACTTTTGGTTTTAATACAATTATCCTCATGCCAGTTGTTTTTATTTTATACCTTTTTGTGCATTTAGTGCACAACCTTACCCCTCAGAGAGTAGGAGTATAATAAGTAATGAAGAGCTATAAGATGTTAAGTTTATTGGAGTAAAATGAGGATCAAGTAAAGACGTTGTCAGAAAATAAATGAGATAAGACATTGTGGAGTGGTATGAAAAGATCTGACGGTAGACAGCAAGTTAATTTATAAGATGCCCCATAAATCTGAGCAGATCCCACATGGTCGCATCTCAACAATAGGCTGGGTGAATGGTATATATTTAAAGGTAGAAGCATGATCTGTCAAGGCGTTCATTGTTATCTTTTTCAAGATAAAGATTTAAGCCCTCATAAAAATCAGAAATATCTCGAGCCTTCAAATTTTTTAATGCTGTTCCTGCAGAATGGGGCGATTCACATTAGTGACCCCCACCATATCTACTGATCAGCTAACTCCACCCTCCCACCTTTTTTGATGTTAGGCTCTGAGACTATGATTATTATGGTTACCGCAAATATATTGCTTGGTACCAGACATGTTCGTACCCCATATTACATCTCCCTAGCTTTCTTAATGAGTGCTTCCAGTAGGTCCCCGCGTACATCTTTATGAACATATTATATATGTATGCATGCGTCCTAATGAACAGATTACTTTATAAGAAGTCAAAAACCTTGAAGAATAACAAGAATAGGTCTTGTGAATAGTGGAGCAAGATTCAGCAGAACAATATAGTTAGGGTTCAATATAGGTAGTATGAACTGAAGGTAAGGTCGGTTGGCCGGACCAAGTGTACTAAATTATCATGACAGTTTTATATATAGTAAACATTTGACATTGCAAAGTAACCTGTCTACATATATTATAAAAAGATATTAGTAGAACCAACAAAATATCAGCATTTGGTTAACAATACTACAGAAAGTTAGTGAGTCTTACAGGTAGCCGTAAAGTAAATGATGTTTCATTTTCAATCTGAAATCACTGCGTAGCCGGTGTACAAAGATAAAAAGCGAACTGGATACTGTGCGTTCTCCAGAAACATTAAGACATGCATTCTGATTGCCATATGATTACTGCATAGCTAGTCTAAGCCTTTATTCTGCTCCTTATATGCTACGTAAATTTCTCTAATTGCCATAGTTGTCTAACTCCTTCTATAGAGTGTACTGAAATACGATCTTGGCAAGACTTCAAGGCAGCTACGGTCGTCATAGCTTTCTGACGTGAGTAGTTACCAATTCCAAGACAGCTGGTATTGAGTGAAGGGTGTGTGTGGAGATAGTATGCAAATACATAGCACAGGTTTCTGGTCGGTTATCTTGAAGTTGAACAGAGTTTGGGGTGCCGCAGCTCATTAATATATCTGACGTTTTGGCCGGTGTGATCTACACTTATATGCGAGGCCGTGAAGTCAGCTTTGATCATTTATTTCAAACAGCAATAGTCATAAAGAACGGAATTTTCGGCTCTTTTTGCATATTACAACAATTGAGATCCATTTATCAAAAAATATAAATACGTGAAATTGAAAACTGAAACCGCCGAAAGTGGATGTCAGCGCAACATAGTGGCTTATAAATAATATAATAAATAATACATGTGGTGATCTTTCCTAATGCTTTGCAGTGCATCTACTTATGCAAGAACTACATTTGTAATATGTCAGCGAAATCGAAATAGATAATTTAAGAAGTTTATAAATTCATTTATGATATTTGTCTCTTCACACAAAACGTCTGCCAAATATGGAATGGTAGAATTTTAATATTTTGCTGTGCAAGCGTGAATTCTTATGAAATTCCCCCTGGTTTTACCCGACGAGTTACAAGGAAAAAAGCCAAATACTTGCAAGAATTAAAGTGCCTATCGACAACAAAGTCAGTTAGTTGAGTGAAAGGCATATACCACTAACTCTATTTACAGCCTTCAATTTTCTATGTAATGTGATATAGTCTTTTGAGAAGTCAAGGTAAGAATAAGGGAGAACAATAAAAAATTCATGAATTAATAAATTGCAAGAGAAGAGGTTGCATTTATACCCGTAAGTCTCAAACTCTTTATGTAGTAATTCAAACGAAAATTTTTCTTAGGAATATACAGGATATGAAACGATCAGCAGAGATTCGAAGAGAAAGGTGATGATGAGAGGTATTCGATTTACTCCTCACCACACTGAGGTCAATACTGCATTAGTAAATGGTGAAACCGCTGTATGATTTATCATACGATCACTACTGTTTGATGGCTTGTGTAACAGTGCGAACTTTTCTCCTCTTATCAGGCAGATATGGTGACATTCCTTTATAAGAATATTTCTCCAGAAAAATTTCATCTGTCAAGCTTCTGCTATTTAACCTCCTCTGAGAGGTATTCTTTCGCTAGCATAGTTTTCACCACTGCCATCAGGCTAGCCAAACATTCCCATAAACTCTTACCTCATACAGAATTGTCACAACTCCATTTATAATGTCTGCACATATCACCACATAATAGCTTAACATAGAAGAATAAAAGCAAAGCGTTGAAAGTATGAGAAACCTTCGCACTTCTGTTACTTGCCAGTTAGCTTACTTACTTGGATGAATCGCTACAGTAAATGCACTTCTGTTTTAGCTTCCACATCCTTAATCCCAGCTTGACACTGATTAGAACCGGTCCTATCTTGTCTCAATCCTACGGAAATCTCACACACGGAAAGTACAGAAGCAAATTAAACTCACTTTTCTGCATTTGATGGATACCGAAAAGCTTTTTTGTGCAAACAATGTCACATGATAGTGACTTTTGGTGGTAGGGACCCAGGGATGTGTTGAGTATAGTCAGTTGGGTCCTCTGAGTTATCCTGCCATCTGATTAGCTGAATTAGTTGACTTATATACATTGACGTTAAAAGACTGAAGCTCAGCACTGAATACCATTAGACGATTCAGTTACATCCTGCAACCTTCATGTTTGTTTATCTACATTGTTTCGATTGTTTACTGAAGGCGGCGCACGTGACCTTGTCATTTTACGAATGCCACACGATGGAGATGGTAAGTTGGTTGGACTATTTAATTGTAGAGAGTCAAATTTTATGGCCGATTTTATGAAGGCCAAGACGTAGCGATACTTTTCTTGTCAATAGTGGGCAGTTGGTAAAGTACCCAAACTACCAAGTAAAGTATTAAGGTGTAGATACTTTGAAATTATTCTGAAGGGGTGTTAGCTTAGGTTGCCTTATTATCTTTAAAACCTGCCATTATCCAATAGGCCGTTTTTTGTGAATTTAAGGTGACAAACGTTTCAAGTGCACTAGGAACATTTGTGAACTGCAATTAAAAGATTTTCAGCGAGTCATGACTCATTGAAAATCATTCAAAACAAGCTTTACTCAGTAATTTAGAGTATTAAGGTGATATTGTTTCCAAAAGATGATGAACGTCTTGGGACAAATGCAACTAAGGGAAATTAACTGGGTTTAGTGAAACAGCCGCATTTCATACGTCCTCGTTTTCCTAACATATCCTAACTCTTTTCGTCGCATATAAAATCATAACGTGTGTGGGTTTTTACCCTTATATCTAAGATTTCCCAATTGACTGCAGGTGGAATGTAGATTTTTGCATCGAACAAACAACAGTCAACCGTAATTTTAGAACTCGTACTAACCTAATGCCAAGAATAAAATTGCGTCTCCATAGTGATATGCTCTTCCGAAACTGAAGCATTATGGTGTACTCTGGCGTTTACCACGTCGATAGTCACTTTTTCCCATATTGTAAGGTCTCTACGATACTTTTGTCATGAATTGATCCTAATTCTGGCATTTTGGTGGTGAATTATACGTTTTATGAATTCGCTTTTCAATTGTATTATTACATTGGAATCTGCTTATTTCCCGGCTAGTAGCTTTTCCTTTAGTCCTATTACTCTTGATTATTTTCCCTTTGTGAGTACAGACAACAATCCACGCAGAACATATACAATTCCCCACTGCTTGGGTGTTCTAAAGTACTTAAATGAATCCTATGGGGCGATGGCCATTGACTAGACGATTGATTCATTTCACAACACTGCTCATTAAGTACGCGACTTTCAGGTGGTATAGCGTTTCGTACCTGCCAAACATCTTTCGGTTTAAATAAGTGGGCATTATCTTGGTCCTTCACATCTTATGTATATCCCATAGACTGGTACAGATAACTAGATTGTCCATGGACAGGTCTGTAATACGTCTATGATTGAAAAGCAGATATCATATAGTTTGACGTTATCACTGATTGAATTGTTTCTTTTGGCTTTACCAAGCTAAACTCACCTCAGAAAACCCCGTGTTGGAATCTTGTCAGAATAACAGCGCTATCATATACGGACAGACCAAATGTGGTGTTCTTTATGTCGTATGGGGGTGGAGATGTGCGAGATACCTTATTCTTGGAGATATGGCTCATTGGCTTATGCACTGTTTTCAGCTAGTAGCTTACTAGTTTGAGTCTCAGTGTACTTATTACAGGTTGGGTAAATGATTAGTATTATTATCCCCTAAAAAATGAGTGTGGCTCTGCCTAGTGCATGAAAAGTCTATCGTGTCTAATTAAACTGTTACTTTAGTTGCTTAGAAGAGTGTTATGGATGTCTAGTTACTACTTATTGTGCTTTGTGAACAGTTTTAGGACCATATTGGAAGAAAGTTAAGGGTGTCCAGATCACACAGCACAGACCGTTTTTACTATCGATCAACCACACGTGTTGGTGGCACAGCACTTAGGACACTCGCCGACCATGCACATGGTCCGTGGTCTGATCCCCTGTCGACGCACACCTGATATCAATGGTCAGCCTGCATAATTCGGAATGCCGATATCACATGCTGAAAATTCCACACTGGCACCAAAAATACGGTGTGGAATCAAGCTATAATAAAAAAAATAAAATAAATTCATGCCTTAACTTTATCTTAGGTCATTACTTTGTCTGATCTATCCTTTCTTTCTTTATTTTGTAACACTCTGCAACATTTGATTATATTTTTTCGCATCCTTTCATTTTCTTTTTTCGTTACTCAATTAGTGTACAGATATGGTGTATTAACTTGGACTCTTGTTGATAATGTGTAGCTGACACTATACTTTCCTTAATCAGATTTGATGGAACGTATTCGGCAAATTGTCAATCAACAAAAGTCACGCTGTTTGGACGGTAAGTATTCAAGAAGTTATTAACTTTATAATTGTACACCAGGATATTCACTTTCAGTAGTTCGCGGTTTTTTTTGTTTACATACAATTAGTTTCCATTTTTCTCCTCCTGACTGGTCTAGTAAACACATACTATCAGTCAGATTGTAAGATAGGATATTTTTGAGACTTCCAATTTCGTTTTTAGTATAAAATGCAGTCTTAAAGACGATAAAAAGTGCTGGCTGACTTTTTTAGCACGTTCGATTATCCGCAGATCCAGTCGACGAAATAGCCATTGTTAGTTTTTTTTATTCTAGGCGAAAGTGATTTAGTATTTCCTGTCAGGAAACTAGAAATCGGTAATCAAAAAGCTTTCTGGCATGCGATGTGAAAGGAATTTTATTGGCAGTAAAAGTGCTATCTTACGAGACCAGTTTATTTAAAATTTTCTAGGAAATTGCAAATTGGGACTATTAGCCGGGAGAATTTCTGTTTACTTGGCGTTTAGTGTGAGGCCTTTATCATACGTAAGAGTAAGACTAGCTAGCCTTCGCTCATGGATTTGAGCGGATTCATGCTACAAGGAATTAAAAGACGACTATCTAAATGCAACTCCTTCAGTATGAAGTGTACCCGACTAGTATTACGTAGAGTAGCACAATAATAATAATATGTTCAGACGTACATTAGTAAATTTTCTATAGAATTGTTATCATTGAGTACTATGCATATCTGCAATCACTTTGTTATGGTTTGTAAACGACAGAAATTTCGTTTTGTTAATATACTTTTCCTTTTTCCACATCTTATTATACTCTTAATAAAGTGGAGTCTTCTCCAAGTAATGGATTAAATGCAAACGGACTTATTATTAATGGTGATCATAATACTGTTGAGTCGTCGAATACATCTGTAATACGGAAAGTTATTGAAGGTACTGCACCGTCTGCCTATCCGGGTAAGTAAAATTAAAATATAATTAACTTTTAAAAATTGTATAAAACTAGGGTGGTCGATTCTAAGTGGAATAAATTATAATATTAAAACTACTACTACTGATCATAATAATAGCCAGCCAGCTTAAAGATAGAGACTGAAGTGGTAGAGCACGTTGACCACTTCACTTATTTGGGAAGTTGCATCAGCCCCAACAGGCTGTTCGCTGACGAAGTCGCAGCCCGGATATAAAAGGCTCGTTTGTCATTTGTCAGCTTACGCCATCTCTGGCGCTGACTTAATATCCGCCTGTCGACCAAAGGACATGTGTACTCCACAGAAGCAGTTCACTCTGTCCTTCTTTATTGGCTGTGACACATAACCATTGGAAGTGGAAAACATGAAAAAGGCTAGCTAGTTGTCTTTCATCATAGGCTCCTGCGTTCTATCTTCCGTGTTAGTTGGTATATTAGCGTGAGTCACATTGAAGTTAGGCGTCGGGTACTGGGTGAGGAAGGAAAGTCAATCGATGAGGTTGTGAAGCTACGTCAGTTGAGTTGAATCGGACATGTGTTATGCATCCATGCCTAGCCATCGCCTTCCTCGACCGACAGTCAATGTCAGCTGACATAAGATGAGGTTGAAAAATAGCTAGTAGTGGTGGTCAGACCGAATTGTGGCCTCATCAGTCAATGTAATCGATAACAATTAGTTTGAGCCAGCCACGTAGGCCGATATAGCCTGCTTCTCTGGTTGGGATCCTTGGGATAGTAAGAACTAATGAAGACTGGAGACAATTGTTGATATGACTAAAATTCCTCGTAATGAATGGCAGTGCAGATGCATTCACTCTTTGTAATTTGTCATATCCAATAAAACTCTATTGTTTTCCATATTCCTGTTCTTTTTCCCTCACACTTCTGTCTTTTGAATTTCTCTTTAATTTTATTCTCTTACTCTGTGTGCTACACAGAGAATGACAATTCGAACTGCTGCTGCACATCGGCGCAAAGTTCTACGTTGAAACCAGTCAGTCAGTGTCATTTTATCTTATGTATTTGCATAAAAAATATGTTTTTATTTATCTGTTTCAATGAGTTTTCTTTTCTTTTTGTCTTTCATATCACAGGCTTTTGCCTTGTCACTGGAGATCAAGAAAATATATTGTCAAATAATAAATCTGACACGAAAGCCCAGCTTTTAAGACACCTACATGATACATGTCCAAAGAATCCATGCGTTAGACATATCTCTGCGAAAATCGATTGTTCAAGACAAGACAATTCGCAAAGAGATCTAGTTCCGAATAATGCGCATTCTCGGCGTCAAGGTCAAGAACTTATACACAAATATCTGGATGTTGTTTCATCTGGTAGGTAGTTTACTTTTTAAAATGAATAATAGTTTAATTGAATTTGAGATTTTCCCGTCGATTGATTGGACCGAAGTGTTTGGGAAAATCTAAAATTCAATTAAATAATTAATATGACCCGTTGCACAAGAGGTGGCTCTCGTGGCTCAAATGGTTTAGTGGATAACGCTTTGGCGTTTGAAACTAAGGGTATTGATTTCGAATCTCAGTAGGAACATCATCACTCACTGAGAAATGCAGGTACATCCAGGTGACGAGTCCCAAATAGGACGAAATGCACATCCTGGATTCCACTGGTAGTCACCATCCACAAATTAAATAATAGTTTAGTTTAAAGAATGGTTATTATTTTGATTAACTGACATTGTGTTAAAGTGAGACAACTAGTCCTAATAATTTGGATGTTTCCAATATACACATGGTCATTGCTTAATTCTAGTTTTTATGCAGTTGCTGATCAGACTGTAGACTTAGCAGGTAAAAACATTCACACCCCTCACAATACTTGTTAGCTGTACCCGACAGGCTAATTTAATAACGTAGAATTTCGTTTGTGAGCGTCGGTGGCACAGCGGTGGGATGCTCACCAACTACGCCTCATGTGGTTCGGGTTTCGATCCCCGGCCAACGCACTCCTGCATTACCTCGTTAAGCCAGTAATAAGACTGGTAAAGAGGAAAGGTTGGGCATGAGGCTGGCTAGCAACCCCATCCCGTTAAAACTAAACATCACTTCTGCCGAAACTTCAAGCCTGCAGTGTGAAGCCTTATGTCCCACTGGGAATGTAAAGGAATAAAAAAAGAATTTCGTATAAAATTATACCAGTTTAAATTGCCCCACTCAGGAGAATTGTCCATAAAAGTAGAGATGAGAAGTGTAATGTAACTATAATTTGTGAAAATGTATACGCGAGAGAATAACTGGATGAATTTCAGTGAAGGCTTACAGAATCTAGGAGAGAACAAGTAATGACCACATCTATGAATTTCACTCAGATCAGAAGAGTTTTGCGTGCTTTCGGAGGTAATATGGGCGGTTGTTACTTCCCGGTTACAAACACCATTGAAGTTGAAAAAGAATATTCGTGTTCCATGACCGCAGAACCTAGGGGACAACTGCTTGACGCCAGTCACACACACACACGGTCTGTCTGAATTGGTTTTTAGAGTTCTTTCTTTATGAAAGGAGGTTACCGCTGGCCTATGCACCACCGTAAGGTAAGTCGGGATGTATAATTTTTTGGGTCAAACTTTTCTACCCGCCGCTTCTTCAGAGTGAACAGGAGGTAAACAACCGGCTGCTGTTGCATTCCTGTTCCTCAACAGTATGAAATTGCCCACAGACCACCTCCAGCATAGTGTAAACATCTTACACTATGCTGGTAAGAGCTTTTAGTCTGATCTTTATCCTAACAATGTTTCTGGCACTTTAGGACCTCTAGGTTATTCTGGTTCCAGCCAGTATAGCTTTTTGGGTCATTGTGATATGCAAGCTCGACCAACACCACGTCAAGGCAGCAGCAGCTATCGGTCGGGATGTATTTCAGTCATCTAATCAAGAGTTTCTAACCGTCTACGTTCAGTGGCTAAAAGACCCACCTAATATAAGCCTATACCTGCCTACATTGGCCGATACCAACAATCAATAAGTTCCTGAATTGGTATCATGTTTTCGTCCCATCATCTCTATATTCCTTTGCCACCTAATCCTACTTCAGTTGAGAAAGGTATTGGTTTGAAGTATGTGGTATGCGTCCTAACAACTTCAGTTGGTACGGATTTGTTAATTCATCTCATTTTGACTTCTCTGCTCTAGCGAACTCTATAATTGCGTCGGTGACAGCGGTAGAATGCTCGCCGACCACGCATATAGTCAGGGGTTCGATTCCTGGCCGACGCACTCCTTTACCTCGCTAAGCCAGTAATAAGACAGGTGAAGAGGAAAAGTTGGGCATGAGGCCAGCAACCCCATCCCGTAAAAATAAACACCAATGCTACCGAAACTTCCAGCCGGTAGCTTGAAGTACTATGTTCCACTGGGAAAAAACAAGTTGAATAATTTTTTCACACTGTCAATTACTGACTCAAGTATTATATTCTCCTTATTTGTTTGAATTAACAACATATAGTCACCAAATTAAAGGCAGTTGCGTAGTTCTATTCCTGTTTTTTTCTTAAACAATTCTAACCCATTCACAGATTCATTGTAGATTTGAACTTATCTTTCCGATCAAAAATAGATAAAAGTAAAGAAGGCGTTCAGTGAAGAGACTCTTTTTGGCGAATTCATTAATTGAGCTGTACAATAGCATTTATATACAATTTTGTTTGTGTGTGTGTACATTAGATCTATAAAGTTTAGGTAATTACGTAATATAAGTATTATTTGGCTTGGAAACAAACGGTAATCAGATAGAAAATAAAATAAAATTGATTAAGTGATTACATAACACAAAATTTTCGTTTTTTGTTGTTGTCAAAATATTCAATTTACTTTCTTTTTCTTCCAATAAACAAATAAATAAATAAATCTAGAGAGCGTTGACAAGCAAGCGGATGTGAAGAAACAATGCGTACAGCCGGTTGACACCAAGCACATCGGATTTGAATGTTTCACTTCTATGAATAACCAATTGGCGGCGTCAAATCCTGATCAAAGCGAACCAATTAATAATCATAATAATGATAAGAACTTGAATGCTAATAAAAATGAACGCTTAGTGAGTAGTACTGCTGCACCCCTTATGGCATCGAAATCTAGGAAGGGTATTTTTCGTCCACAAGTCACAAAGAATGCAATAACTAAATGTACAGGTATGTTTGTATATATTATTATTATTATTACTATTCCCTTAGGTCCCGAGTGGAGCATATAGCTTCAACACCACACCTGCATTTCACCCTTTTCTGTGCAGTCCTCTTTTTAGTTGGCTACACGACTACTCATAGACTCCCGCCTCCACCTCACACGCGTTATCCTTCATGTCACCCTCGGAGGCCCAACTTGTCGTTTCCAATTTTGCTCTTGATTAGTCCCTAACCAGAGAGAGTTCCCCTTCTGCTAATTCTTTCTAGCCGTCTGATCTTCAGTATGGAGCCAGCGGAGGTGGTAGCTGTTGATAAAAGTCTTCAGTAGCCTGTTGTGACGCGTCGTGTCGAAAATCCGAATTTTTGCCTACATGCTGAATGCAGTAGATTTCAAAACTGATTTTAGAGTGATGACTGTCTGCCTGACCTTTCTGATTCTGACTTTGACATCTTCATCCATGACGCCTGTAGTTTGGAAGATGCTGGTTGGTCAGATCAATGAAGGAAGTAACCTCTTGCAAATTTCTTCCTTTTATAGTGATTGATGCTCATTGTTGGTTGGCTTAGTTATCTTCGTTGTCTCTGTCTTGTCTATGTTCATTTGAAGTTTTATGTCTTTACTGCTAGTCTCTTCCATCAACTTGGCAGTTTTTACGTGTAAGTCTTCAAATTTTTGTGACAATAGATATCAGTCATCCGTGAAGTCGAGATCTGGAGTATCAGTCTTATCGGTCCAATACATTCCTGTCTTCTAGCTCCCAAGTACAGTTTGACACCTAATCTGCTCCACCATCAGTAGGAATGTCATAGGTGGTAGTGGAAGGCATTGTCTTACTCCTGTCTTCACGTCAGAGGCTTCGCTGATTTCTCCGTGGTTGATCACTTGACATTTGCTATGGTTGAATGAAGTTGTTAGAGATTTTGGTCACTCCATGGTGTTGGAGTAGTTTTCATCAAATTACTTTGCCTTTTCATATCCAATGAATTTGAGGTCGAGATTTAACTGCCATTCTGCGCTCTGTTCGATCGATGGTGATGCGTAAACTTGCTATTTGATCCTCACATTATTTACTATTCTTGACCCAGCTTGTTCCTGGGGAGGTCGTGCATCCAGAGAAGCTTTTATTCTCCCCGGGATGATGCGACTTAGTATTTTACTTGGTGTAGACAAGGGCATGGCTCCGCGCCAGTTCTTGCAGAGTGAGGCGTAAGCCGCCATTTCTTTTATAGTTTGACAAAACAGCCTTTCTTCAAAGCTTTTATCAATAGCGGCGTCAGCAGCATATCCAATGCGGTCTCTGGATCTGTTTCCAGTGCTTCAGAATGAATTTCGTCTGGAAGCCTATTTTATTAGTTCACTGATCCTAAGCTTGCGAAAAGAGTGAAGGTTTGGTGTGGGGCTGGCGACTCTATCCCAGAAAATCAAACCGATTGCTTATAAACACAACATGAAAAGCCTCCAGGAAATATAAACCTATTACGTGGAGGATTTCATCATGAGTGGACATCAGTTAGAGAACCACTGAAAAACCTGGGAGTCCTGGGCAGCTGTTTCCCCAGCCTAGTTTGGGACTCTTCAGCAGTACGCATCCACCGGGATTCGAACCCAGGACCTCCTGGTTACAAGGAGAGCTCGTAGACCATTGAGCCACTGGGACCCGATCCAATGGTCCTTGAATTCTAACTTCTGCCAATTCATGACATAGCGCGACCATTTCGCAATGTCTTCTTCGATGAGTTATTGCCTCATCTTCAACCTTCTGTACCATGCTGGTCACGGCTTCCCACTAGAACCGCAGGTTAACTGCCTGAATAGGGTCAGTCACTAGTGCGCATTAGATTAATTTTCAAGTACTGGTTTTGTAGGGATTTTTTGTGACCGTGACCTGTAGGGTACAGTAGGTTGAAGATGAGGCAGTAACTCATCGAAGAAGACACTGCGAAATGGTCGTGCTATGTCGTGAATTGGCAGAAGTTGGAATTCAAGGACCGTTGGATCAGGTCCCAGTGGCTTAATGGTCTTCACGCTCGCATTGTAACCAGAAGGTCCTGAGTTCGAACCGTGGTGGGTTGGTGGGTACTGATGAAGAGTCCCAAGCTAGGACGAAATAGCCATCTAATACTCCCAGCTGGTTTTCTAATGGTTCTCTAACTGATGTCAGCTCATGATGAAATCCTCCACGCAATCAAACAAAAATCCCTACAAAACCAATACTTGAAAATAAATCTATTAATTTGTTTATTTTTCCTGACAGTTGGTAGATCCAATTTTAGACCTAATTTTATCAAGTGACATGTTTGTTTCAGAAGTAGGCGTGTTATTTAGTGATTTTGATATAGTGTTTATTGACTGCAATCTCTATATGTTAGCTGTACCGAGATTGCATGCAATATATATATATATATAGTTATTGTTGTCAAACATAAAACACTGGACATTTGTTGCTACTTTTTATAAACGCTTTTAAATAGTTATTTTTACATTAATAGTTTACTGTGTATATTTTAAAACGACTGTGACTTGGCTATATTGGTTTCGGTTTCGGTTTCCGTTCGGCCTATACTTTATTTCTTCTTTTATCACATGTTGTCACATAGATTGTTACTGATATCTATCGTAAGAAATGGTTACTGGGTAACCGATTTATTTATTTATTGGTTAGCTTTTTTTCTAGGTGTTTGTTTCATGAAACTTAATTAAATGGAATTGTGCTTTATGTAGAGCTCTGGTATATTCTGCCATTCATGAAACTAATTCACAGTCAATTTATCAACACCTGACAGCTTTTGTTGTTGTTTTAATACAGATATAAAATTTTTTTTCACCAATGATTAACCTTACACTGGTTTGATGACCAGACGACATCCCAGTTAGTAGAGGACCATTGGAGAAACCAGAAAGTACTGAGCAGCTGTTTTGTCCTGGTGCTCGTGACTTTTTCAACAGTACTCACCCACTGGGGTTCGAACCCAGAGGCTTCTGGTTACAAGGCGAGCTGCGGAGACTAATTCAGCCAATGGAACTCGATCCGATGGCTACTGCATGAAATCAAACTTCTGCCGTTTTGCGAACCAATCAAATCCGTGCAAATTATTACTTGATAATGTAATCTTACAGCGTCGGTGGCACAGCGGTTAGGACGCTCGCCGACCATGTACATGGTCTGGGGTTCGATCCCCGGCCGACGCACTCCTTTACCTCGGTAATCCAGTAATAAGACTGGTAAAGAGGGAAGGTTGGGCGTAAGGCTAGCAACCTCATCCCATAAAAATAAACACCACTGCTACCGAAACTTCAAGCCTCTAGCTTGAAGCCCTATTTTCCACTGGGAACGTGTAGGAATAAAAAAAATTAAATCTTAATGTTTTCTATTACTATACAACATTAGATCAATACAACATCTTTTCATGACTAATTAGGGGTGTTTCGTATGAACTGTGATCAAGATTTGACCAAACAGTTTCAAAATAATTGGGCACTGAGTGAGAAGTAGGCAAATTTAAAGATTATATTTTTGTAAAGTCTCAGCGAAATTGAAATGAGTGATTCCAACGTTTCCTGCTTTCGGCAAACTGGTACGAACCTCTTTAGGGAAATTAATCGAAATTAACATAAAAGAAATATGAAAAGGACATCGCTTGTTTTTGAAACCATTATCTAATCATTATGAGTCATGCAACAGGCATCAACATATAGTATGAACTTTGATCGAAATTTGACCTCAGACTTACAAATATTAGTCTACTTTTGTTAAACATTGTAAATCGTGTGTACTTTTGCATCAGAGTTTTAGTGATTACACGTCTGACTAAAGTTCATGGTCGTAGATAACTGAATAATGAGAAATATATATACGTATATATGGTATACAATGGAGTGTGGGCATGCGTGTATAGGGAAACAATTGTCAGTCTGTCTGTTTTCGACATAGAACTTTGCATATATGTGCGGCAGTTCAAGTCGCCACACTCCCTCCATGTAGCACACAAAGCAAGAGAAGTAGAAGAAATGCATAATAGAGAGAGTAGACAGGGATATGAGACAAAAGGAATAGTAATAACGAAGAAAAATATAGTTTCATTGGAAATCATAAGTCACAAGGATTGGATGCATCTGCATTGCCTTTGAGAACGATTTTGAGCCATGTCACCAATTGTTTCCAACCATTGGTTTTCACCATCCCAAGGACCCCAACCAGTCAGGAAGTCTACACCTTCCTACGTGGCTTAGACTAACTGTTGTAGATTTCATTGACTGGTACCATGTTTTCCTTTGACCGCCACTAGCGCTTTTCCAGTCTGACTCTATATCAGCTAACATTGCTCATCGAGGAAGGCGATGACTAGGCATACGCAACACATTTCCTAACCATCTCAGTCGATGTAATTTCACAGCCTCGTCGATTGATTTCCCTTCCTTACCTAGCACTCAATCAACGCCTAACCTCAATATTGCTCACCTTATTATACCACTTCACACGAGAGACAGAACGCAGGCACCTATGATCAAAAACAGCTAATCTTTTCATGTCTTCCACTTTCAATGGCCAGGTTTCACAGCTAGCCACAAAGGAGGACGGAGCGGACTGATGAGCGGTACACACGTCCTTTGGTCGATAGTAAATTGTAAAACATTTGTTAGCCTCTCCATAAGAAGATATAGACAATCGGGAATTTAGACTAGGTATGACTGATTAGTGATATATATCCATTTTTATTTATTAATCAAGACTTGCCATGCGTCAGCTGACCTCACACCTGTTCAAGCTTTTGGAATTCATATATATATATATATATGTAGGGTCTCTGCAGTCAGTCTTTCTCTATATGAGCCAGCACCTTTCTTTAAAACCATCACCCTATCAAAGTCTCGATTTTTGGTTTCTAGTAGACTAGTTTATCATGATCATCATCTGTTTTCTACTTGATTTGTAGATTCTCAGACAGTTGCTCAAGACTACTGCAGTCATCATGCTGTTGGTTGTTCCACGCCTAGAGCTCACCTCAAAGCGCTAGTTCAACAGCAACGGGAAGCCAGGCGACTAGAACGTCAACGACAAATAGAGGCGCAAAAAGAGGAACAAGCACGAATTCAACGAAACTTACAAGCAACTGCACAAGCAGCAGCAGCGGCAGCCAAATTACCTGTCACGTCAGGTAGAAAAGTAGCTGAACCGACAAAAGCTGGCACAGAATCCACGACGTTGCAACAGATGATGGTGTCTGTACCACCAGTACGTATCTTGTATAATTCATCACCAAGTAGTTGTATTATTGAAATTGAGTTTTTTTTTCTCTCCCAATGTTTAAGCTGTAGTATATTCGATACTGTAGTTTTGTTCTAACATATCGAAAGTTTAGTTACAGGATATTATCATGAGCTGACATTGGTTAGAGAACCATTGGAAAACCCGGGAGTACTGGACGGCTGTTTCGTCCTATTTTGGGACTCTTCATCGGTAGGCACCCACCGGGGTTTATTTATTTACTGAGAAACTGAATGACCAAGAGTGGGATATTGCCTGTGGAAATAGGTCGCCATTAGCTTTCAAATGCAGGTTTCTTTTCTGGAACACTTGATGTCCATTATCTGACAAGAAAAGATGTCTCGAATTGTTCTCATAATTGGGGTGGAGGGGGGGGGAAGGAAAGTATAGGTTTATATCTCATAACTTTTGATTTTCAATTTGTAAGAATAAACAAATTATTTGAGAAGAGTAATTAAGTTTGGTCACGGACTGATATCAGTTAGAGAACCATTAAGAACTACGGAGTACTCGACAAGTGTTTCGTACTAGTACAGGACTCAGTGCCATTAGGCACCTACCGATCGGCGTTTGGACCCAAGACCTTCCACTTACAAGGCCAACGAACTTGTTGACCATTCAATGACTGGGACCCTACTCTTACCATTTTGTGATTTTAATTCGACTGGCACCAGCCGATGTCATAGCCCTCACTCCCAATCGGGGGGGGGGTGTACCTCACTGATGATTATTTTACTACTTCTCACTAGAACTCCAGGAAACTTCGTCCACCTGTAGAGAGTCAGTCACTAGCAAGCATCCGATTAATTCTTAATAGTTAGTTTGTAGGTATTTGATGCGCTTTTCGTTTGTTTGTTTGTTTCTCTGACTGATATACCACTCTGTGGTCAATCTCGAAACAAATCTCCAAACTCTGACTTTGATTCAATACGCCTTACTAAATCATCTGCGTACATTCTTGTCTGTACAGACCTGTTCAGTCGGTTTATATATATATATATATATATATATATATATATATATACAGCTTCCATGACTAGTATCACTGAAATTGTGACAATTAGATAACATTACCATATCGGAGATGCAGTCAGTACACACCTATGCCATGCCTATATTTAGATAAGCGCTAGGAGATTAAGATTCCACGGCGTGTTTTCCACATTATGGCCATTATCACTGCTTTATCGGACATGACCTGTGCGTATATTTAATGGACAGTTTTTTTTACATCTTGGAATATGCACATTTGATCATAGGGAATAATAAAAAGATAGTTGCAGCGAAAAAAATTTTCTTTTCGACGAAATCATCAACTACGCTGTACATTCGTGTATTTATAATAATAAGTGGGTAGGAAAGTTCCAGAATAATTTCTGGTCAAGGGTCAGATTAATAAAATTACAACAATTAGGAATTAAAATGTCATAATAAACAGGGGGACAAAGTAGCATCATAATTACTGAGGAGGTTGACATATTGTGCAATTGGGGGTTAGAAATGTAGAAATAACAAAAATAGACAGGATGTTTGGGTAAAAAATCTAGTGGGATCATAACTAATATGATGAATAATTGTTTATGCAATCAGGGATCAAATATGTAGAAATAATAAAATGACAAAATAAACAGGAAGTTCGGATGTGAAAATATGGTAGTGTGAATAGGGATTAAGAAAAACTTAAAAATAACATGAATAAACAGGAAGTTTGGATAAAAAAGTCAATGGGATAGTCACTATTAGAAGAATTACCTGTTTATGATGGCCATGTCAGGGACAGGGGTTGGACGTATTTCTTTTGGATACATGGCGTGGGTTTGAGCTATGCACAGATGTCTTAATTTCATTCCCTTTGATAGGTTTGATTGAATCTTGTATATTATTTTGAAGGATTTTTCGAATGTGTCGCTGAATGTCCTGAATTGACCGGATGTTCTGTCACTGAACTATATATACGCGTTTGCGTTCTCCTTTTAGTAACCAGTCTGGATAGTGTTCACGAGCGCGTTTTTCAAGTTGGCGCATGGTACGGCCGATGTACTTTGCTCCGCCAGAGAGCAAGTAAACTGGTATATGCACATTGAAGTGGCCCAATGCGACAGATGGTGTCTTTCGCGTTCTGGCTGAACAGTTTTTTTGCAGGAAAACTTTAGTCGTAGGCTCGTGGCGAAGTATGTCTTCCTCAGAGATTTGCAGAGGCGTTAACGAAGGATTTCTGCTTCAATGTCATCTTTGAATTCTAGATTGAGAAGAAGTATCTTCTTCAGGACGGATTACACTTGTTCGGAAGTCTTCTTTGACTTTAGATTCTTGTCTATAAACCTGGGCGGAAAACTGTTTTCCATCAGTGTTCTTCGGAGATTACGCAGTTTTTCGTCAATCACTTCCTCGATGCATATCTTCCGAATCCTCGAGAAAAGAGCGTATATCAGATTCCTCTTTCTGTTTAGGAGCACGTAGCTTTGAAAGTTGATGGATTGTCCATTCTATGTAGGCTTTTTGTATGTGGACCTTTTCAGAGAATTGTTGGAGTTTCTTGTCAGATGGACGTCGAGGAAGTGGAACATTCCATTGCATTCAGCTTCAAAAGTAAATTGGATGTTTTGGTGGGCATTGTTGAAGGTTTGAAGTAAGTTTTCAAGGTCCAGATTTTCATCACAAATGATGAAAGTATCATCAATGTATCTCTTGTAGAAATAGAGGTCGTCGATAGGTGATGATGAGGAGTTGTTTTATAGGCTAGCCATAAAGCAGTCGGCCAGGATAGGTCCTAGGGGAGAACCCACTGGTACCCCATCTACTTGCATGTATATTTCGCTGTTGAAACTAAAGTTAACGTTGAAGGTGCATCGTAGTAACAGTTCTTTCAGGTAATGGATGGGTATACCGACATCGATGCTACTGGATCGAATGTAGTCACGAAGGAAACATACGGTTTCTGTCAGTGGAACGTTGGTGAAGAGAGAGATGACATCCAAGGAGATCATTTTCCTTTCTGCCACGCTGACATTCTTAATTGAATCAACAAAGTCGAATGTGTCACGGAGGTTGTGTCTTGACAACTTCTCTTTCACTGGCCCGAGAATCTCCACCAGTCGTTTCGTGATTGAGTGATATGGGAATCTATCATATCGAATTTTGGACGGAGTGGGACGTCTTGTTTGTGCACTTTAGGTAAGCTGTACATGCTTGGCGTTGTAGAACCAGATGGGCGCAGTTGTTCATATAGTTTGGAACTGATAACGGATTCCTCTTTCATTTTCTTGAATATCTCTGTTAGCTGGAGCAGTTTTTTAATATCGACATAACTTTTAGTTATTTTGTGTTCAATACTCATGAAAAATTATTTATCTGTGTATTTTTTAAAATATTTTTCAGTTAAACTCCTATTCATCAGAAAGAGAACAAAAACTTGAGCAGCTTTTAAGACGTGAATTATTCCCACGTGAGCATCAAAAAGATGAATCGGGTCTTCCTACTCACTTGGATCGAGATCCAATACTACGCCTTAATAATGGTCAGGATTTTATAGCAGCTAGAAAATCAGTTGGTAACTCAATGCCGCGCACTTCACTGGCAAATGCTTTACCTTCGCATCAATACTGCAAGAAACGAAACTCTCTGGTTATTTTACACAAACCAGATAGTGGTGAGTGATTGGAAGAATTTTCGGAATATATATGAGAGAGAATGACTTAATTATTATTATTATTATTGTTCCCTTGGGTTCCTAGTGGAACATAAGGCTTCAACTGCACGTCTCCACTTGCTTCTGTCTTCTGCTGTACTTTTCACCTACATCCATGTTAGTCCATACTGTTTCAACGCCTCTCTTCACACGATCTCCTCCATGTCACCCTTGGACGTCCCACTACTCGCCGCTTCCCTTTCGGGTTCCACTCGAGCTATGGCCTGATGCGCGATGTCACCCAGTGACCTCCTCAGCTCAGCGAGTGTTCCATCCATCTCCAGTTTCTCCTGCATATTTGTTGGCCAATTGGTTCTTGTTTTGTTTGTTCCCATAGTTTCTTGTTGGTTCTTGTTCTTTCCAGTCATCTGATCTTGAGTATAGAGCGAAGACAGTTAGTTGTTGATAAAGGTCTGCAACAGACTGTTGGAAATATTCTTTGTGACACACTGGCCAAGTTTCTGATCCGTATAGAAGAAATGACCGACTTGACGTCGTTTGTATTGAAAATCCGAATTTTGTTGTTGATGCTGAGCGACTTAATTAAGCCTTTTGATATTCTGGTTTACGTCACGTCTCGTTTAGATTTGGATTGTATTCAGCGCTTGAAGCTTGAAGCTACCTTACCTTAATTGAGAAGATTATATAAAATGAAGCAATAGTGCAAAGAATTTGACATAGAAGTATGAAATTTCTCTAGTGTTATGCAAGGAGTGAGTTTGATAATCCGATTGAAGTTGTTTCTGAGTTCTGGCTTCCACAATACCACTGTTCTCGTTGAATTTTATCACTAGTGCTTTCTTGGTCCCCTATACTCTGTGGTAATTGGGGAACTGTCATTTCAGTATGCTGTTAAGCTTTGTGTGGGTCAGTGTCTAATTGATTTTGTTTTCCTTTTGCTGATTGATTGGTTTTTCGATTTAACGGCTGGTAGTATAAGGCATGTTATTCAAGCCATTCAAAGATGGTGGATTTCGGGCGAGCTGAAATTCGCACATGTTTATTCTAATGAAGTTGAGTAGCTGAGCAACAAGGTATTTATTATTATGATTGTTCCCTTGTGGAACATAGGACTTCAATAGAATAGCTCCATTTTATCCTGTTCCCTGTCGTCGCCTTTAGTTAGTTGGCCCCATGTGTCATCTTCGGAGACTCGCCCAAACCACCATTTCGCATTCAGGCTTCACTGAAAGGCCTGGTTTGAGATTATCACCCAACGGTCTGCTTAACGCGTGTCCGATCCATCTCCAGTTTCTTCTGGAGATGAAAATTCTCAGCACGAATACACAGGGCTAGTTTCGCATATACCAGTTTACACCGTCTCTGTCGTAGACGTGATATCCGACTATCGACCAAAGGGCGTGTGTACTGCTCATCAGTTCTCTCCGTCATCCTATATGGTTGCAAGTGAGACATGGCCATTGAGAGTGGAAGACATGAAAAGGCCGGCTAGCTGTCTTCGATCATAGGTGCCTGCTTGCTATCTCACGTGTGAAGTGCTATAATAACGTGAGCAATATTGAGTTTAGACATCACTCGAGTGCTAGGTAAGGAGGGGAAATCAATCTACGAGGTTGTTAATTAACACCGATTGATATGGTTAGGACATGTGTTACGTATTCCTAGTCATCGCCTTCCCCGACAACGGGCAATGTTAGCTGACATAGGGTCAAAGTAGAAAAGAGCTAGTGGCGGTCAAACCAAAACATGGCACCAGTCAATGAAATCCACAACAGTTAGTTTAAGCCAGTCAGTCACGTAGGTAGGTGTAGACTTCCTGGTTGGTTAGGATCCTCGGGATGGTAAAAACTAATGGCTGGCGACAATCGGTGATATGGCTCGAAATCGTTCTCAATGACTGGCGCAGATGCATCCACTCCTTATGACTTATAATACCCAATGAAACTATATTGTTCTTCGTTATTACTATTCCTTTGTCTCACACCTCTGTTTACTGTCTATATTGGGCATTTCTTCTACTTTCTTCTCTTGCTTTGTGTGCTATATGGAGTGTGACGACTTGAACTGCCGCACATATGTGCAAAGTTCTAAGTCAGAAACAGACAGAGACAGACCAGTTTCTTCTGCATATGTTTTGTTGATCAATAGGTTCTTGGTTGGCTCGTTCTCCGAGTTCCTTGTTGCTAATCCTTTCTGGCCAGCCGTCCGATCTCCAGTGTGGAGTCAGCGAAGTGGGCAGCTATTATTGATAAAAGTCTTCACTGGCCTGTTGGGAAGGGCTATTCGTGACACCCTAAGTTTCTTTCTGAGCCATATTGTAGTGCTCACTGACTTAACATCGATGCTGAAAATCAGAATTTTGTTGTTGTTTATGCTGAGTGCAGTGCAGTGCAGTAAAGATTTCCAAACTGATTTCAGAATGATAAGCGTCTGTCTCTCCTCGCCTTTCCGATTCTGATGTGTTAATATGTTGGGGATATACTTTTCAACTGTTACTATTATTTACAGGATTTTCATCATGAGCTGACATCCTTTAGAGAACCATTGGAAAACCAGCTGGGAGTACTGGACAGCTGTTTCGCCAGCCTAGTTTGGGACTCTCCATCAGTACGCACCCACCGGGGTTCGAACCCAGGACCTTCTGGTTACAAGGTGAGCTCGTATACCATTAAGCCACTGGGACTCGATCCAATGGCCAATGAATTCCAACTTCTGCCAATTCACGACATAGCGCGACCCCTAGCCAATGTCTTCGGCGAGTATTTGTCCTCACACCCGACCTGCTGCACCCTACTGGTCATGACTTCTCACTATTATTTTTTATTTTTTTGGTTTTAGCTCCTAGATCACCGAAATATGGCAAACTGAACTCGGACAGTGGACCAAAGACCAACGGATGTAAAACAGACTTTGATTCTTCCTGTTTAGTTGCTGTGGAACGGCAACACCACCACCACAATCATCATCATCACCACCAATACCAGCAGCAACAGCAACAACAACATCAACAACAAGATGATAGAAGGTGGCATGAAATGAATTCTCATTTCGGAACAGTTACATTGTCATCTGCTGTAGATAACTTGTTAGCGTCTGGTGATCATAGTTCACGTGAGTAACATTTTTTTGCTTCAATATTTCTGTATATGCTGCAGCCTAGTAGTAGTAGTTTCATTGCTCATCACTGAAGAAATCATTTTCTTCCTTGATATTCTTTCGATGGTTGTAATCCACCTCTGAGTCTATTTTGAACAGAAAGTCAATACAGAATAGACGACTAAAAGGTATCATATTCATTGAGCCTTATAAAACTGGAGTTTTAGATGTCCAGCTAACTGACTGACTGACTGGTTTCAGCATAGAGAAGTGTACCAGTTCGAATTGTCACACTCCATGTACTACACAACAGGAGACAAAAAGAGATGATACTAACCAGAAATGTGACGAAGAAAGAAAAGTCACATGGAAAAACACCAGTTATCTCCAGCTATCGGTTCTTAGAATGCCGAAGACCCTATGCAAGAAGTCAACGCCTCCCTACGTGGCTGGCTGAAAACTAACTGTTGTGGATTTCATCGGCTGATACCACATTTTGGTTTGTTTACCACTAGCTATTTTCCATCCTGATCGTATGTCATGTAACATTGCCCATCGAGGGAGGTCATGGCTAGGACATGTGTAGCCATCTCAGTTGGTATAGTTTCACAACCTGATCAATTCACTTGCCCTCCTTACCTAACAATCGATGCCTAACCTCACTGTTACTCACAATATGATACCACCACCTATGATCAAAGACATAGAACTTTGCACTGATGTGCAGCAGTTCAAATCGCCACACTCCATGTAGCACACAATGCAAGAGAAGGAATGCATAATATAGACAGTAAACAAAGGTGTCAGACAAAGGAATAGTAATAACGAAGAACAAAACAGTTTTATTGGAAATCATAAGTCACAAGGAGTGGATGGATCTGCGCCAGCCATTGAGAACGATTTTGAGCCATGTCACCAATTGTTTCCAACCATTAGTTTTTACCGTCCCGAGGAACCCAACCAGTCAGGAAGTCTACACCTTCCTACGTGGCTGGCTCAAACTAACTGTTGTGGATTTCATTGACTGGTGCCATGTTTTGGTTTGACCATCATTGGCTCTTTTATAACCTGATCCTATGTCAGCTAACATTGCCCACTGTCGAGGAAGGCGATGACTAGGCATACGTAACACATGTCCTAACCATCTCAGTGGATGTAATTTCACAGTCTCGTTGACTGATTTCCCCTCCTTACCTAGCACTCGACCGAAGCCTAACCTCAATATTGCTCACCTAATTATACCACTTCACAAGGGAGATAAAAGGCAGGCACGTATGATCGAAGACAGATAATCTTTTCATGTCTTCAACTCTCAATGGCCAGGTCTCACAGGTAGCCACAAAGGAGGACGGAGCGGACTGATGAGCAGTACACCCGCCCTTTGGTCGATAGCCGGATATGATTGGCATAAAACTACTCATCTCAAGCAATCAGTAGTGTAGCATGTAGTTTTAGGCATATGTGCTTGTTTTCGTGATTACGATTTATGGCGGGGGGGGGGGGCATCAAGCAGGGGTTGCATATTGTGCTGATCTGAATAATGTGCTTTGTGAACTAAAATGTGGTGAAAAACTTCACCTCTCAAACAGTTTACGTTGCAAATCGCTAACTAATTTTTGGAAATTTTTATGTGAATTTCTGGTTGAAACACGTATTCATCAACTATTAGTGTAGTGCATGTTGTCGAAGCGATCGTCAACATGTTTCACTGAGTTAAGTTAATCAATACAACACGTTTGTCAGTTGGTTCATTTTATGTATTCTACACACTTACTACTTATTGCTTATGCTCAAGCCCTAGTTGTTTTTGATGTATGATTTGGGTTTTTGTCAGCATAAAGTATCGCCCTTTTGAAAATTATTCTGATGCTTGCTAGTGACTGTCTATACGGTGAAGTTGTCTCGAGTTCTTGTACAAAGTCGTGACCATTGGAGTTCACCCGGTTGGGAGTAAGGGCAAATACTCGCCGGCGATGACGTTAGTTGGTTGGTGCCAGTCACGCTAAAATCACGAGTTGGTAGAAGTTAGAATTCATGGGCTGGCGATTGAATTGGGTCCCAGTGGCTGATTGCTCAATGAGCTCACTGGCATTGTAACCGGAAAGTTATGGGTTCGAACCCCCAGTCGGTGGGTGCGTACTACTACTCCGTCCCAAGCTGGTACGAAACACCTATCGCGTTCTCCTTGATGGTTTTCAATGGTTCTCTAACTGATATCAATCCGTGGGCAAACTTTAAACAAATCATATCCCTAAAAACTAACTCTTAAAGTCGAGTAGGTATTTCATTGATATTGTTTAATGAAGCCAATGATTTCCCTGATTGCGGTAGATTAGATAATGCGACAGACAGTTAGCGGGCAGCGAGGAAACAGGCATAAAGTGGACCCCCACGAAAAACTTGGAGGATCTGGACTTCGCCGATAATAAATGTCTGATTTCCCACAAAATGGAAGATATGCAAGTGAAAAGCAACAAGTTGGCAGAATAAGCATCAAAGATAGGAGGGACTTCAGGTGAATATAGAGAAGACAGAGGTGATGAAGATTCCTGGCCAACAACAACAGACAGCAATCAGCATAAATGGAAGGAACCTGAAAGAAACAACCTCTTTTACCTACCTGTCTGGGAAGCATCGTTTCAACTACAGGCGGAACTGACGAGGATATCAAAGCAAGGATCGGGAAAGCAAGACAAGCTTTCATTACTCTCAAGTCTGTGTGGAGGTCAACAGCACTCCTCAGCATGAAAAATAAGATCCGGATTTTCAACTCCAATGTGAAGTCAGTGCTACTCACTATACGGATCAGAGACTTGGCGCGTCATGAGGAGCTCCTCAAACAAACTACAGACCTTCATCAACAGCTGTCTTCGCTCAATACTTCTCTCAAGATCAGATGGCTGACCAGAAGAGATCAGCAACATGGATCTCTGGCAGTGAGCGAACCAACCAGCAACCTATCGTGCAACAAATAAGCAGGAAGAAATGAGATGGATTGGCCATACGCTGAGGAAACCATCAAGTGACATCACACGCCAGGCCATTGCTCTCGAGTGGAGTCCGAGTTGGTCGCCCAAAGGTGACTTGTAGGAGGTCATGTGAAGAGGAGATGAAAGCATGTGGGCAGACCTGGAGCCAGGTGAAAACGTTGGCAGAGAACCGAACTTAATGGAGACGTGCAGCTGAAGCCCTATGTTCCTCTAGGAATTACAGGAAATAATAATAATAGTAAAGCTTATCTTTCCTTTATATTGGGATTATTTGCATAACTAGATTTCCAACATTTCTTTCGTCTGTATTTTTACTCTGCTATTGTTTCTAAAAATAAACTATGTTTTATTATATAGGTCTATGTGGCACTGAAGTGCCTAAAACAGCTGTATCCTGTCAACAAGACATTGAAGTTCAAGTGTCTGCTGCACCTGTTTCATACTCACAGGTGGAGGACAATGGATTATCAAGCCTGACAGGAATACGTGATCGTGTTACTCAACATCACTCTGGAACACGAAAAAGGTTTGCTTATACATATTTATTTTCTATAGTTTGGTTTGTAAGGGTTAGATATGGTTTTACGAGTTGATCACGGATTGATATCAGTTAGAGAACCATTGAAAATCAGGGAGTACTGGACAGCTGCTGTTTCATCCTAGTTTGGGAATCATCGGCAGTACGCACCCACTGGGATTCGAACCCAGGACCTTCCGGTTACAAGGCAAGCTGGCTCGTATACCATTCAGCCACTGGGACCCGATTCAATGGCCAGCTCATGAATTCTAACTGCTACCAATTCGTGAGCTGGCCTTTGAATCGGGTCCCAGTGGCTGAATGGTATACGAGCCAGCTTGCCTTGTAACCGGAAGGTCCTGGGTTCGAATCCCAGTGGGTGCGTACTGCCGATGATTCCCAAACTAGGATGAAACAGCAGCTGTCCAGTACTCCCTGGTTTTCAATGGTTCTCTAACTGATATCAGTCCGTGATCAACTCGTAAAAACATATTTATTTATTTAACAGGGTCATCATTAATAACATTGACTTGACTGAATGGCTTTTATGCAACAAAAAACAAAACAATGTTTGCCTACTGAGAGTTGAGTAGAGTATTCTACAAAACCACCCACAGATTGTCCTTAAAAATATTGATTAATGCATTCATTCATTTTTATGTGTTTACAACTCCACATAATAATAATAATAATTATTCAATATCAATGACAATGTGTGCTATCGTAATTAGGTGTGAATTGTTGTTTTATTTTTTCAAAGGCTAAAGGATTGAGCGAAGAAATATATTCAATAATTAGTTTGTAGGGATTTAATTTGTTTTTCAAGTCTGACTAGGGATTGATATCGGTTGGAGAACCATTGAAAACTGTTTCGTCCCAGTTTGGGACTCTTCGTTAACTCACAAACCAAATCCCTACAAACCAACTCTTGTAGATTAATCTGATGCTCGCTAATGAGCTACTGCCTGCAGTACTGAGTTTCCTGGAGTTCTAATGAGAAGTCGTGACCAGTGGAGGTCATGCTGTTCGGGAGTGAGGACAAATACTAGTCAGCGATGACACTGGCTGGTACCAGTCGCGCTATACTCACGGGTTGATAGAAGTTAGAATTCATGTGCTGGTCATTGAGTCGGGTCCCATTGACTGAATGGTCAACATGCTCGCTGGCCTTGTAACTGGATGGTCTTGGGTTCAAACCCTGGTCGGCGGTGGGTGCGTACCGCCGGTGAGTCCCAAGGGCTAGTACGAAGCCAGTTGTCCAGTACTGCATTGCTAGTTTTCAATGGTTCTCTAACTGATATCAATCCATAGTGAAATTTGGAAAATAAAATAAAGAGTGATTGAGGAATAAATGATTGTTCAAGTTGAATATGTAATAAGCAATTAAAAACGAAGGTGTTTGAAAAGCAAAATAATTTGTACAATGATAACTCGTAATAGACTTAGGGGGAGGACGAGCTTGTCAGGTTTAATGCATTCGTGTAACGATGGCTAAGGTAAGGAAAATGGCTGTACGAATTTCTTCTGAACACACAAGTTTGCCTTCTTCTCCTGAGGATTCTGATGGCTTCAGCTGAATATAGAAGGCGAACAAGTAAGGGTGAAATTGATATTGGTCGGAATGCGTTAGCTTACTTTAAGTGGTTTATTAATGTCAACTTTATGCTCACCGTCTTAAAGAATGGTGCTCAGAAATGCGATAATGAACCTGCCTACTTGTATACTCAGTGTAACTAGCTCCGCACGAGCAGTCAAACAGGTAGATACATATAGAGGAGGAAAAGTTAGGTAGTTTGTCGGTATTTCTCGAACGTAAAATGGGAGTGGAGTAGAGTAGAGAGGTAAGCTGTCTTACCCAAAACTACTCTGGTTGTAAATTTCTTTCAGATAACATTTGGTTTCAAATAATGGTGGTAGGATTAGTAATGTAGACTATCTGAGGTTATTGTTTCGGTAATTTATAGCAAAATACTAGAATAGAAGAAAGCTATACTGCTGTATGTGAACTGGATGATTCAGGTTGATAACTAACGAAGAGAAACTCGAGTGCTTGGTCCGTTGCTTTCAAATTGTTCTTTAGGAGGAACAGATGAGTGAAACACCTTTGTGATGTAATGGACTGTGAAAAGTGCTCACCTCTCATCATGACAGTAGTCCTTATTTTGTTACCACCTTGCGATTTAATCAAAAGAATCCAATCAATATCCTACGTCGATGGCACAGCGGTTAGGACACTCGCCTACCATGCACATGGTCCGGGGTTCGATCCCCGGTCACCGACGCACACCTGATATCCATGGTCGACCTGGTAAATTTTGGCTACCGATATCACATGCTGAAAATTCCATACATGTATCAAAAATACTGTGTAGAGTCAAGCTATAATAAAATAAAAAATATATAACAGCTAAGACAGGACTTCAAACGAACATAGGAAAAACGGAGGCGACGAAGATGGCCAGTCACTCCACCACCAACAAGCACCAATCACTGTCCATGGAAGAAGTTTGAAATAGGTCATCTACTTCACTTATCTGACTAGGAACCATCGTTTCAACAGAAGGCGACACCACGAATGAAAATGTTAAAACCAGATTGGGAAAGGCGAGGCACACCTTCATAACTCAGAAATCGGTTTGGAAATCTGATACACTCGGCATAAAGAACAAGATTTTGATTTTTAACACCCATGTCATCTCGGAGAGTATTTCTGTATGGTAAAGGGACTTGGCATGTCAAAAAAAAGCATTTCCAACTGGTAACTGCAAACTTTTATCAACAGCTAGCTACCTTCACTACATACTGAAGGTCACATGGTGTAGTCCAGAAACGAACCGATCAGGAACTTATTGCTCAACAAATATGGCGAAAAAAAATACAGATGTGCAGGAGACACATGTTGAGGAGATCGTCGGGTGACATTGCTCGCCGGGACCTTGAATGGAACCCGAATGGGAGGCAGCGGGTTGAGCTTGTGCCCAAAGGTTACGTGGAGGAGATCGTGTGTGGGGGAGATGAAAGCTTATGGTTAGTCGTTGGGTCAGCTGAAGAGGACCTCAGACAATAGGACAAAGTGGAGACATTCTCTTGAAGCTGTATGTTCCACTCGGGGAATCCAATGGAGTAATAATTAATAAATAATCCTTAACAAAGCATTTTCTAAAACTCATTTCGTAGATGATTCTTCACGTATGCATCTCAACACACAATTTGTTACTTACCCTACATAGATAGAAGTTCGTCACTACTTTTTGCAAGGTGTTGTTGGCTTTATTATTATTATTATTATTAATAATCTGAGTAATTGAACTCAACTGGCTTTTTAAAAGTTTAGAATTCATTCGATCAGAGCCTGTCTAGTATCTTTATTATATATTTCTTGTTTGTATTGCTTACTTTCGCTTAGGTTATCCGCCCATAAAGAACCCAATGTTTCCTGCTCGAATCGATCACGAACAGCGATCTGTGATCATGCGACGGAAGCTGCTCGTTTAGACATCAAGCTGAGTACACAACGCGTGAAACACATGATTGTCGACTCAGATAATGATGATGACGAATACTCGGGAGATGACGACTTTTGTGACATGAATGCTGATAATAATGGAAATAGTTCATTATCATCATCATCATTATCATCCTATTATGAAGTAATTAAAAAACCATCATTCAACTGTTGGAGACGATTAGAAGCTGTTGGTGCTAGTGAATCTGAATTAGATGAAGACAATGTATGTATTGTTGAAGATATCAAGGTTAGTTGTGTTTTCTCCCTCCCTCCCTTCCTCTTTGTTTAATGTATTGTGCATTCAGCTCTAAGCAGAGAAAATCAAGTTTTATGATATTTTCTCCAGTTAATTTAGTAATTACAAATTCTATTTATGTTTTTTTCCTTAACTGCCTAATTATTTATTCATAAGTGTGTGTCATTTTTATGTACTTGTTCGTTTTGTAGGCTTTGCTAAATAAGTAAGTCCCTCTCTCCCCCCTCCTTCTCTCCACTTTCTCACACACACACAAACACACCGATTGTCGGCTAACAGAATACCTCAGTGGCTTCATATTTTGAGATTTTTAACCAATGCTTTTTTTTCTAAACAAAAAAGAGATTTTTTTGAAGCATAATTTATTCTACTACTTATTTAGCTGTCTGGTTTCATTTCTAATGCTAACACCCCTGTATATCTAGTGTTTTGTTTTTAAAAGGGTTAACAGTAACTCTAATATAATCCCTGAGTACAATTTGCTCTTGAAGTTTTAATTCTATTGCAATAACATTGTATATTTGTATATATACTCTAAATATTTTCACCCCTTTCTAGGATGATTTGATTGCGCAGCCTCGGACATCATTGGAGCCTCCTCGTACAAGTTTTCGATATGCTGCTACCGCTGCTGATCATCTTCATACAGCTGGCGTCAATTCCTTTGTGAAAAATGAATGTGCTAGAAAAGAATTCTGGAATCATATATACGCGGATCCTTTACGCTTCGTGTCTGTACACAAACGTCAACAGAAATTGTTACACATGTAAGTGCTGTTGTAAGTGAGTTCAAGACAAGATAAGAGAAGTGGTTTGGCGTGTGTGTTACTGATAAGATTTATCAGTAGTATGTAGAGCAGAAAGATAGATTTGACAACAAAGAGAGGAGATTAACCAGTATTGCGCAAAACATGGGAGACACGAAAAGAAGACAAAGAAAAATATAATACGAAGGAAGGGCAGAAGTGTAGCACAACACGGAAGTTCTGTGCAATTGACGATTTTCAGATAAGGTTTTTACATAATTTCTCTATGTAGAGATATCAAATTCCAAGTAGACGTTTCGTTGTCAAGTCTCTTGTCTTCTACCGTTGCCGTGGTAACGGACTGTTGTATTAGGGAAAAACACATCCTGTTTATACATTTTTAACCACATTAAATGGTGTCTTGATCAGCGAGCAATAAACTCTTCTGAGACGAAAACTCGTCCAATGAGATAATTTCCTGACCACAACGTAAACTAAATCGAGATTTGACCATTAAGCATTTCTAACTCTAAAGACAGCAACCATTGACTTAAAATGTTGGTCTCAATTTCCACTGCTTCGTATCAGTCTGCATCTATATACATACTACTTATAAATCTTGTCAGCAGCCGCACGCACCATATTGTAACTGGGAATAAAATTATCAACTATGCATAATATTTAGTTTTTATATTTTTACAGTTATTAAAACATAAACATACATGTACGTATGCGTATGTCTCTTTTAGAGAGAACAAAAGTCACCTACAGTCATCATCCTCTGGATTTCAAACAAAGCACTCGAAGAGGAGGACGACAGGAATTAGTTATGCGAAAAGCGGTGCCAAGATAAATTCAGCTCCTGTTCATGATGTGAGCAATGGAAATCACAATGTTGCATCAAATACTTCCACGACTATCAATAGTCAAGTGGTAACTGTAAGTCTATCCTTAGTTGTTTATTTATTTGTTATTTCATTTTATTATATTTCTTTACGTTCCAAATAGAGAGCTAGAGCGCTGATGTTTCTGTAGCTGTAGCAGTATTATTTTTGTATTATTATTACTATTATAGTTCCCTTGGGTTCCCAGTGGAACATAGGGCTTCAACTGCACGTCTCCACTTGCTTCTGTCTTCTGCTGTACTTTTCACCTGCATCCATGTTAGTCCATACTGTTTCAACTCCTCCTCTTCACACGATCTCCTCCATGTCACCCTAGCATTGACGTCACACTACTCGCCGCTTCCCTTTCGGGTTCCACTCGAGCTATGGCCTGACGAGTGATGTCACCCAGCGGCCTCCTCAGCTCAGCAAGTGTCCAATCCATCTCCACTTTCTCCTGCATATTTGTTGGGCGATTGTTTCTTGTTTTGTTTGTTCCCATAGTTTCTTGTTGGTTCTTGTTCTTTCCGGCCATCTGATCTTCAGTATAGAGCGAAGACAGTTAGTTGTTGATGAAGGTGTGCAACAGGCTGTTGGAAATATTCTTTGTGACACACTGGTCAAGTTTCCGATCCGTATAGAAGAACTCACTTGACGTCGTTTGTATTGAAAATCGGAATTTTGTTGTTGATGGTGAGTTGAGTGACAAAGATTTCAAGATTGGTTTCAGGTTGATGAATGTGTTTCTCGCCTTCCCGATTCTCGATTTGACATCCTCGTCCGTTCCTCCTGTAGTTGAGACAATGCTCCCTAGATAAGTAAATGAATGAATTAACCTCTTTGAAATCCCTTCCGTTAATGGTAATTGGCGCTGGATGTTGTTGTTGCCCCTGTTGTTGTTGGTTGGTTGGTTGGTTATTTTCATAACCTCCGTGTTGTCTATGTTCACCTGGAGTCCTGTCTTCACTGCCTGCTTCTTCGACCAGTTTGTCGGTTTTCGCTTGTAAGTCTTCGATTTTGTGTGACATCAAACATTAAATCATCCACGCGCGAAATCCAATTCTTCTAGGTTCTTCATGTCCGTCCAGGATATCCCTGTCTGACGCATAATTCGGTCCACCACAATTAGGAATATCATTGGTGATAATAAGCACCCTTGTCTGACTCCTGTGTTTACTCCAAAATCCTCGCTGAGTTTTTCGTTGTCGATCACTTGACATGTGCCGTTGTCGCGCAACTGCTAAATAAGGTTGATGAATAAGCTGTAGCAGTTACAGTGGTTTTTTTAAAATTTTTTGACGCGCCGGTCACAACGTAGAACTCTTCACATATGTGTACAGCATTCTGAGTTGCCACACTCCCTCCACTTAGCACACAAAGCAAGAGAAGAGAGTAAATAGGGGTTCAAAGGAGAAGGTAATCAATAGAAGTGTGAGTAAGGGAAAAGAATAGTAATATGGAGGAACAGTTGAGTTTTATTGGATATGATAAATCACAACGCGTGAATGCATCTGCGCCAGCCATTGAGAATTAGGATTTTGAGCCATAACACAAATTATCTCCAGCTATCATTGGTTTCTACCATCTCGAGGACTCCAAGTAGGAAGGTTTACACCTCCATACGTGGCTTAAGTTAACTGTGAAAGATTTCATGGATTGCTGAAAAGTTTTGGTTGAACCAGTACTTTTTCATATGTTAGCTAAAATTGACTGTCGAGGATGGTGATGACTGGTCATGTTGTAACACATGTCTTAGTCATCTCCATTGACACGTATCTTCACAACCCCATTGATTAGTTTTCTCACCTTACCTAATACTCGATCGAAGCTTAACCTCATTATCTCTTACCTCATTATACCACTTAACATGGGAGATAGAACGTAGACACCCATGATCAAAGATAGCTAGATAGGCGTTTCATGTCTTCTCCTTCCAATGGTCATGTCTCACGGTTGTAGAGGAGGATTGACCGAAGTGCTGCTCAGCAGTACACACGTCATTGGTTGGCAACCGGATATCACGTCTTTGCCTCACGTCCAATCGTCCCTCTTTACAGGCCTTACTATCAGTTTAGCGAGGTTTAGCAGTGTGTAGATCGAGGATCGAACCTCTGACCAAGTAGGGCATGATTGGCGAGCTTTATACCGGTGAACCACAGCCGCACACAAAGCTAACAGATAACTAGACACATGTTTCACCCCAGTTTGGGACACTTCAGCAGTTCGCCCCTACCGACCGGGAGTTGAACCTATGACCTTCTGGTTACAAGTCAAATTCGTAGACCATTCTCAGCCACTTGGACTAGTAGTAATAGTAGTAGTTTTAACTAGTTGCGTTTAAATCCATTGTGTTGTAACTTGTCTATTAATGATGTGTATTTTCGCTTTATGAAACACTAGGTGGAGTGTACTGAATCATCAAAAGAACACGGTATAAAATCTCATAAAATCTATTCTATTAAAACTAAGGCGCACGAATTTATCACAGAAGAAAAAGATTCAAGTAGTCAATCTGATCCGCATCGACAAAGTTCAGAGAGTTCTTTACCAAAGAATTATCTTTGTAATGGAGTTGTCAACTCATCATCCCAGCCGAGACTACCTCCTGCTGCTTTGAATCTCCAGTTAACTGCTGAAATGAACTACCTTGAAACACTGGCTAGTTCAATGCAACATATCGCTGATATGGAATCACTACGTCATATTACTGCTGCTCAAGCTGAATGTGTCAGTTTAGCTCAGTTGTTAAAGGTTAGTTTTTGTTCCATTAAGTTTTTTTATGGGATGGTTTATAAGCAGAGTTCAATTATGGGTAAAATTTATTTTGATGTAGTCTCACAGTGTTGTTATACAGTAATATTTACTGATGACCACATGCTTCGAGCACAATTTATTGCTGCTCATAATCATATCAAGGTACTCACACAAATACCCAACTTCCTTCATATAATTCTATTATTTTCCATCGCTTGATTTGATTGGTAGTAGTATTTTCCATATTTCCGGTATGACTGATGAGTCATTGCTATTGCATGTGTTGAGTGTAGACTCGATGAACAAGGATTCAGTAATCAACCTCTCTATATCTCTAGCTACCTAGATTACTTCTTAAAATTTTAACCCTCTCCCACCCTATTTTGTGGGTTAGTTCATGCAGTGCAATTGCTGAGCTTTTGTCTAAATTACTTATCTTCGCGAGTGGGGTCAACCATGCTTACCTTAGCTAAATTTTTATGTTCCGACAATCTGACTATCCTCGACCTACTAGTTTGACCTATGTAGTTGACCTAACTAACAGTTATTGCAAGGTATTTTGTAAATTATATTATTTTGTCTAATTGGGTCAACCTACGGGGTCCTTTAGCCTACAGAGCTTGTCCTTTTTGAGTGAGTTCGTAGGTTTGAATGCCACTCTTATTCCTGCTTTATTAAGAATCCTACGTAGAGAGAGTCTCAGATGTCCCCTCCTTATATGGTATAATAGTAGATGCTTAATATTCATGCTTATTTATGTCATCATTACTAGTTTCCCCGTTATTTTATTTTGGTTTTGACCTTTACTGATCTTCCTAATGAATTTTATAGGGTAGTTAGTTATATAACGCCAACCAGCTATTCTTCTATCTGTTTTATTTCATCGTTTAATATGTTTTCTTGTACTACTTAGTGCTATTGCTCAGTTTGTTAGACACTTAACTAAGTCTGCCTTAACAGTTAACGGATGAGATGAATTATAGTCTAAATATCTATTAGCAGAATGCCTTGGCTTTTCATAAACGCTAGTCTGCAGTCTACCGTCTTCTATTCGTTTTATTTTGCAGTCTAATATAGCTAATTCTCCTTGTTCATTTTCCGATTCAAATGTGAAATTTATTCCCTCTACTAGTGAGTTTATGGGTGTCAAGAAGCTAGAGATAGATATGTTGTGTTTTTAACACTGTGAAAGTCATCCACGTATCTCCACCATATTTTCCCAGCTGTCCATAAATATATCTGCTAAGATAGGGGATATTGGTGATCCATCCAATTGCTACACCTTCTGTCCGTCTATATATTTTGCCTTGGAATTTAAAGATAGTATCTACTATCTGCCACCGACGCACTTTATACACTCGTATTATTTTTAATACATTTTATAGTCACCGTCCACTCGGTTGTAAGTCACACATTTAATGCCGTCTTTAGCAAGATGCTATTTAGCTGGTGAAATAATGTACGAAAATGCTGATGATGGCAAAAAACTTGGTAGCAAAATTTTTTATTGAGGAAACTCATACCATATTTCTACATTTCAGCCATATTTATGGCTGGCTAGGTCAGCGGATAATATAAACTGTTCTGATTGGTTGCTGATCTTCTGAGATTAATTCGTAGCCACATTGTAAGCCGGATCCAGATTAAAGAAATAAACGCTTCTACGTTTGTTAACCACTGACTACTTAAAATGTCGTTTCCAGTTCTGGCTACTTTTTATCAGTCTGTGTCTTTATACTACTAATAATTCTTACCAGTAGCACAATGCCACAATGGTATAAAGTGCGAATAATTACTTTCAATATAGGGAAATATTTTTCATTGGCATTATTCACAAAGCTGTACATTTGTAATTACTGTTGCTACAAAAACCGACTCGTTGTGGTCTAAACGCCGAGGGAATTGATCTTTGCATTCCAGTGTGTGTTTATAGCTGTCTGAAACTTCCTTGAGAGACACAGTCACGAAACGCTCTAAACACAGCAAAAGGCTTATTATTATTATTATTGTTCCCTTGGGTTCCTAGTGGAACATAGGGCTTCAGCTGCACGTCTCCACTTGCTTCTGTCTTCTGCTGTACTTTTCACCTGCATCCATGTTAATCCTTGCTGTTTCAACTCTTCTTCACACGACCTCCTCCATGTCACCCTTCGACGTCCCACTCGCCGCTTCCCTTTCAACGTGTTCCACTCGAGCTATGGTCTGACGCGCGATGCCATCCAGTGGCCTCCTCAGCTCAGAGAGTGTCCAATCCATCTTCATCTTCTCCTGAATATTTGTTGGCCGATTGGTTCTTGTTTTGTTTGTTCCCATAGTTTCTTGTTGCTGATTGTTTCCGGCCATCCGATTTTGAGTATAGAGCGAAGACAGTTGTTGATAAAGGTGTGGAACAGGCTGTTGGAAATATTCTTTGTGACACATTGGCCAAGTTTCTGATGCATATAGAACTGAATTGACGTTTGTACAAAATTAGTTGATTAAAATTCAACTGTAAGGAAGACTTTAGAATCAAGTGGAGAACATTCTCTCAAGATGGGATCAACAGCTCAGTTAAGAAGAATCACACATGGACAAATCCCGCACACACAGTTCAAGGTTAGAATAACCTTCATTCACAAAGACATATAGCAAGGATTTAGTCTATAGGTGATATGCAAATGTCAGAATAATGATAGGCAGTCTAGGAGAAAAATCGATAGCAATTACAAAGTTAGTTGAAACATTCAAATAAGTGTCAACATTGTTATTAGATCGTTCATGAGGGACTTGGTGTCTTTGGGAAAATCTGAGTTCAAAACAGTTGTAGTCCAGTGACAGTCAGAGACTGCGTTTTGAACTGGATCTCTCATAGTTCATGTTGACGGTGGCGACGAAATCTCAGCACGGATCCAAAAAGCTCGGGCTGCTTCCGCTAACTTACACCATCTCTGGAGTAGGCATGGCATCCGACTGTCAACCAAGGGACGTGTGTACTGCTCAGCAGTTCGCTCCGTCCTTCTCTATGCCTCTGAAACATGGCCAATACGAGTTGAAGACATGGAAAGGTTGACTGTCTTTCAGCATAGATGTCTACGATCTCTTTCTCACTTTAGGTGGCATAATAAGGTAAGTGATGTTGACGTCAGGCGTAGAGTGTTGAGCAAAGAGGGAAAATCAATCGAAGAGGCTATAAAGTTACATAGATTGAGATGGCTGGGTCACGTGCTGCGCATGCCTAACCATCGCCTCCCCCGGGCATTACTAGCTGATATAGGTGCAGGTTGGAAAAGAGTAAGTGGTGGCCAAACAAAAAGAACATGGCCTCATCAATCCATGAAATCCTTGACAGTTAAACTGAGTCGGGTAAGGAGATGCAGACTTCCGGGTTGGGGTCCTCGGAACTCTAAGAATCAATGGCTGGAGACAACAGGTGGCAACTCGAATTGTTGCACGTCGGTGCCAAGTTCTATGTTGAATCCAGACAGAGACAGGCATGTTGATGGTTAAATGATACCTATATAAATAGTCAAAAATATACATACATTATCTTCGAAGAGTTTCTATGTAGATATTTGTTTGTTTCAAGTTTGACCATGGATTGATATCAGTTAGAGAACCGTCGACAAAACCAGCAATGGATTACTGGACACGTATTTCGTCCTAGTTTAGGACTCATCATTAACGCACACCCACCGGGGTTTAAACTCGGGACCTCCCGGTTACAAGGCCAATGAGCTGGTGGGCAATACAGCTGCTGAGATCCGACTCAGTGGTCAAACCATGAATTCTAACCTCTGCCAATTTGTCATTTCAGCGCGGCTGGCACCAACCAATGGCATCAGCGAGTATTTATGCGCACTTCCGATCTGCTGGTACCTACTTGTCACGACTTCTCACTAGAGTTGTAGGTAATTTCTTCCAGCAGCTGGTCACTAGTGAGTATCGGATTAATTTTGAAGAGTCAGTTTGTAGGGATATTCGTTTATGTGCACAGATGTGTACAGCGCTCTGTTTCTGCATTACATTTTTTATCGATTAATTAATTAATTATTCAATGTGTTTTTGATGAGTTTTATCCACACTATGACTTGTCGTTCTTTTATTTTACATCCTTAATCAAGGCTCGTGAGCTTCAATTATCATCAAAAGCAGCTAATGATCAGGTATCAGAGAAGGAGACACAAGTATCTGGGACATTATTAAACAATCCTGGAGCAAACAATCTCATCTCTTCTGCACATTCACCTCAGTTCCAGGGTGTACTTAAAGCTGCTGAAGAATTTGATAAGGTATGTGTGTTAATGTATTTTTTTTCTTATTAAGCCTTTCGTCAATGTTCATTGAACGGTTTGTTTATTCGAACAAATCTCCATTTTTGGCGGGAGGCAAAAATGGCAGAGCGTGGCCTAATCCAATCGTACACTTTTTGGCAGAAGACTAGAGGAAAACTATCAGACACTTTGTGCTCTAGTAACCCGTGTAGTCCTGATTCCTTGTCAGCGAAGAATAATAAACCATCCTTGAATCGCCAGTCGGTTTTCTTCTGATATTTTCGAGTCGATTATCGCACATAATAATGCATTCTGAGTTGGTTAGTGGCAGCGATTTTATTTCCGGTAGCGCAGCGCCTAGGTCTAGTTTCAGAATCTTTTCTTATCTGGACAATTGATATGTGTTATTCCTAGTTGTGGTGCAAAAGGTGTATGCATTTCTTCATCGTCCCATACCTACCGTTGTCATGAATCCTCGCGGTCAGGAGATATTTATTGGTGTTATCGTGTTAGGGTAATTTAGCTGACATATAGGGTCAGGCTGGAAAAGAGCTAGCGATTCTCTCGTTCTGTCAAATGTAAAATGATGTTACAGGACTGGACTACACTGACTCCTAGTTTAGAAATAGGAAGTGAAGTGGTAGAGCACTTTGACCACTTCACTTATTTGGAAAGTACCATCAGTCCCAACGGGTTGATCGCTGACGGAATCACAGTACGGATACAGAAGACTAGCTTCGCATATGCCAGTTTACGCCGTCTCTGGCTTAGTAGACGTGATATCCGGCTATCGACCAAAAGGCGTGTGTACTGCTCAGCAGTTTGCTCCGTACTGCTTTATGGCTAGCTGTGAGACCTGGCCATTGAGAGTGGAAGACATGAAAAGGCTCGCTATCTGTCTTTGATCATAGGTGCCTGCGTTCTGTCTCCCGTGTAAAGTGGTATAATAAGGTGAGCAATATTGAAGTTAGCCGTTGGTCAAGTGCTAAGTAAGAAGGGAGAGGAAATCAATCGATGACGCTGTGAAATTACATCGACTGAGATGGTTAGGACATGTGTTACGTGTGCCTAGTCATCGCCTTCCTCGACAATGGGCAATGTTAGCTGACATAGGGTCAGGCTGGAAAAGAGCTGGCGGTGATCAAAACAAAACACGGCACTAGTCAATGAAATCTACAACGGTTAGTTTAAGCCATCTACGTAGGAAGGTGTAGACTTCCTGGTTGGGGTCCTCGGGACGGTAAAAACCAATGAAGGCTGGAAACAATTGGTGATGTGGCTCAAAATCGTTGTCAATGGCAGTGCAGATGCATCCACTCCTTGTGACTTATGATTTCCAATGAAACAGTTTTGTTCTTCATTATTACTATTCCTTTGTCTCACACCTCTGTTTACTGTCTCCATTATGCATTTCTTCTACTTTCTTCTCTTGCTTTGTGTGCTACATGGATGGAGTGTGGCGACTTGAAGTGCTGCACATCGGTGAAAAGTTCTATGTGGAAAACAGACACAATTAGGGTAATTTGAAATAACTATTTCAATGATCTTAGAATAAACACTGATTTGAGTCAACACAATTGTAATCTTTTTTTAAAGTAGTAACAGCTTTACTCTGAACAGTGTTTGTATAAGGTGCAGAATTTTTCAACGGAGTTTATTGCATGATATTTTCTCTCCGTTATTCAAGATCTTCAAATAAAAGATTCGGTTGACTGACTGACAATAGATTGATCGTGTGAGACACAGTTCCTTCTATCTGACCTGTAGCACAAACCAATCAATCCATTAAGAGACATCTCTCCCTTGTCACGCTCCTTCAAGAAATGCACGACATTTGGTTGAAAGCTATCTGTAAAAAAAAGTTCAGGAGTACATTCTGTGTGAACCAAGGACCACCACTCAAGAAGAACAGTCATCTCATGTATTTGGGATAACCTGCCATCGAGCTGGATGATGCTTTTTCTCATGTGTTCAGTGGAAACTTGCGAATCAGCAGGTTGTAAATGTCGTTTTAAATATACTCACCAGAGTAAACAGCACCATTAGAGGTCATATTTTAATAGATTTAAACAAATTGAATAAAAGAAACTAATATGCCATATATATATTGATGTGAAGGTTTTCGACAATCCGAATTATCAGCCCCGACCGCCATATTCATAGTAACTACTATATTTCATAGGATTCGAAGTTTAAAGTTTACCTCTATGAGTGTGTAAATCTTCCTTTCCAAAGAATCTGAATCCAGTGAAATGTAAAAATCACTCGTTTTCAATTCGATTTTGACCTTCCCCCCTGTTTGATTGACGGATGCCCCAACCATGTCCAGGGATCACCTTGAAGTAATTTGCTGGGTGGTGACTGAGCATCAGTGGAACCCAGGATACCCCGCATTTCGTCCTATTTTGCGACTCGTCACCTGATTATCCATACCTGCATTTCAGACATTTGCAGAGAGATATAGAGAGTTATCAGCTTTTCAAGAGGAATCAATACATTCATTATACAAGTGTTTAAAAATCTTTGCTTCTTTTTTAAAAAAAAAGCTGAAATTCATATTTTCCTCTTTCTTGCTTTCTTTCTTTTTGCGATTAGATTGAACGTCGTCTCAGTGTGAAAACTTCACATTTGAATTCTTTATCCAGTAGTCGATCGACTGCTACTGAATCACCGTCTATACGAACAAATATTTCAGATCAGACAAGTGTACACAAATCGTCAACTGCGAATAATGCAACACTGTCGGATGCTTCATCTTATGATGACGATGATGATGAAGGTGGTGATATGACAAGTAATTTATAAAATGTTCTATCAATTTACATTTCATCATGAACCAACGTCAGTTAGAGAACTACTGGGAAACTTGGGAGTACTGGACAGGCGTTTCGTCCTAGTACTTGGGACTCTTCATCAGTACGCGCCCACTGACCGATGTTCGAACCTTGGACCTTCCGGTTACCAAGGCGAACTCGTAGACTATTAAGCGCACGATTTCTAATTTCTCCCAATTCATGCTTATAGCGCGACCAACAGCCAATGTAATCAGCGTGGGTGTGCGCTGATGAGGAGTCCCAAACTAGGGCGAAATAGCTGGCTGTCCAGTACTCCCAGGTTTCCCAATGGTTCTCTGACCGATGTCAGCTCATGGTGAGACCATGTAACCAATCAAATCCTTGCAAATCAAAACTTGAATATTATTTAAATTATGTAAGTGATTGGATGTATATTAGCTCGGTCATTCTATGTTCATTGACCAACTGGCTGGAGTCAGTATAGAACTTTGCACTGAAATACACCAGTTCTAGTTGTTACATTCTATGTTATTTTTTTTATTACAGCTTGGTACCACACCTTATTTTCAGTACAAGTATGGAATTTTCAGCATGGATATCGGTAGCCTAAATTTACAGGCCGACTATAGATATCGGGTGTGCGTCGGCAGGGAACAAACCCCGGACCATGTGCACGGTCGGCGAGGGTCCTAACCACTGTGCCACCGACGCACAAACAAAAAAGACAAGAGGGAGTGAATACAGAGATTCAAAAGGACGATAATCGCCAGCAGAAATGTGAGGACGAGAGAATAGTAACGTGGAATAACAATAGGGCTTTACTAGATGTGACAAATCACAAGGAGTGAATGCATCTGCACTGCCATTGATAATGAGGATTTTTAGCCAAATCACCAGTTGTCTCCAGCCATTGATTCTTAGTATCCTGAGGACCCAAACCAGCCAACATAGTCTACACCTCCATACGTGACCTAAACTCTAACTGTTATTGATTTCATTGACCAATGGCATGTTTTGGTCTGATCACGACGAGCTCTTTTCTAACCTGATCCTATATCAGCTAGCATTTCCCGTTGAGGAATGCTGTGACCGATGTCCATTACTTTTCAGCTAATAATATTTTATGAGAAGTAGTCAGTAAATTCTTCAGCTTAATATTTTTAGCACTTTTAATTAACATCTATTCTGCAGAGTAAGCGGACCTAAGGATCCTTAAATAGATCAATAATTGTCGAGGATACCTCTTTCTTGATTTAATTGATTGCTTTTTTCTCTCTCTCTCTTCCTACCTCTATTTAGAATCTGATACAACAACTAAACAAGAATCATCATCTATGGAAAGTAGTCAGAAAAGGAATTCAAATACTGATGATGCGAAATCAACGCTAGCTAGTGTTATAACTGCTTCAGATTCTTCTTGTGATTCATATCATCCTTCCACTGGTACTGGTGTAGTTTCTGTAAATGGGAGGTCAACCACTACGCCACCGTCTTCCAAAGGCATAGCATCTAGTAATGTTGTTAAAAAGCACGAGGTAGGTGGATTTTTAGTTGCTGATTTCCTCTATTTTGCGATGTATATAACCTTACTTCCCTTGGGTTTTGAGTGGAACGTAGGGCTTCGACAGCACATCTTTATTTCGGCGCGTTCTCTTCAGTCCTCTTTATCTGACGTCAGTGTTATCCATAGTCTCTGATCTCATCCTCACACCGGTCTTCTGCATGTTAAACCCGGATACATGCCCAAGTCGTTGTTTTGTTTTTTCTCATTCGGGTTCCACTAGACACCCTAGCTGCGCTCGCGATTTCATCCGACTGTCAACACGCTTTCATCTCCCCCACGCACGATCTACTCCATGTCACCCTTGGGCACAAGCTCAACCCACTGCCTCCCATTTGGGTTCCATTCAAGGTCCCGGTGAGCAATGCCACCTGACGATCTCCTCAGCATGTATCCCGTCCATCTGTATTTTTTTCGCGATATTTGTTGAGCAGTAAGTTTCTGATCGGTTCGTTTCTGGCCTACACCATGTGACCTACAGTATGTAGTGAAGGTAGCTATGAATAAAAGTTTGCAATTGCCAGTTGGAAATGCTTTTCTTGACATGCCAAATCCCTTTAACTACATAGAAGTACTCTCCAAGTTGACATTGGTGTTGAAAATAAGAATCTTGTTCTTTATACTGAGTGCGTCAGATTTCCAGACTGATTTCTGAGTGATGAAGGTCTGCCTCACCTTTCCGAATCTGGTTTTAACACTCTCATTCATGGTGTCACTTTCTGTTGAAACGATGGTTCCTAGTCAGATAAGTGAAGTAGATGACCTCCTTCAAACTTCTTCCATGGACAATGATTGGTGCTTGTTGGCGGTGGAGTGACTAGCCATTTTCATCACCTCCAGCTTCGCTATGTTCGCTGGAAGTCCTGTCTTAGCTGTTTAGGATTCTGACTGGATTGTTTGACCAGATCTCAAGGTGGTAACGGAATAAGCACTACTGTCATGATGAGAGGTAAGCACTTTTCTCAGTCCATTACATCACGGAGGTGTTTCATTCATCTGTTCCGCCAAACCAACAATTTGAAAGCAATGGACCAAGCCCTGGAGTTTTGCTTCGTTAGTTATCAACCTGAATTATCCAGTTTACACACAGCAATGTAGCTTTCTTTTCTAGTGTTCTGCTATAAATTACCGAAACAATGACCTCAGATAGTTTATATTACCAATCCTATTGTTATGATTATTATTTGAACACAAGTGTTATCTGAAATGAAATACTATATGCTTGCTCTTCATACACACATTATTTCAGTCTGGTCATCAAGAAATTGCACAAATGGTGGATTCCAGAAGAGAATGTAATAAAATTGATGATGCTAGTCGGTCTAAAAAGCTAAATAATAATAATAATGATAATGACGAAGGACACAGTACACGGAGGAAATCGAAACGATCTATGCAGCACAATGAAAGATCACGTGGTGGAAAGCCAATCAGTATTCCTACTTTAAATCTATACTCAGCTTCATTGGATGATTCTTGCCAGCGGGAGAGAAGTGAAGAATTCAACCAAGTGAAGTAGTAAGTTAATTTCCTTTTTTTTCTTTTTCTTTCTTGGTACGGTGGTTTTTTTCTCTCCTTTGAAAGCTCCTCCACCTTCAGCGATTAGATTCTACAGTGTTCCATGTTGTTTGTTGTGTACATAAGTCGGACTGTTCAAGCCAATTGTTCCGATTTTCTAGATCTGTGGATTGTAGCTCAATGCCTAAACTTTTCAGGTATTGATTTGCAGAGATTTGATTGGTTACAGGATTTTATCGGTTAGAGAACCATTGGAGAACAAGCTGGGTGTACCCATCATACTTTATTTTAAACTGATATATATATATATATATATATATATATATCCATACAGATACCGCTTAATATCACCTCACCTTTTATTCAATTACCTACTATTCTTGTTGTTCTATCTTCATTGCGTATCAGATGAATACAAATCACTTTTCACTTGTTAGCTTGTAAGAATCAGATTATGCTGTCCTTCGACATTGAGTCACTTTTCACCAATATCCCACTCACGGAAACGGTCTACTTCATATGCAAATATATAGATGACAACCATCTCAATATTGGAATACCAACAACATATTTGAAGGAATTATTACTGAGATGCACTCTGAACGTCCAGTTCACATTCAACGACACCATCTACAGACAAAAAGATGGTATTGCAATAGGATCTTCGTTGGGTCCACTTCTATCAGATTGCTTCGTGGCAAGCCTCAAGAAAGGTCCACTAAAGCCGAGCATTGACAATTTACGACTGTATAAAAGATACGTAGACGACATATTCATTATTTGTGACAACAACAATGACCCCAGTCTACTGCTGAAGACATCACCTTTGGTACTACCCTAATTTCATTAACACCTAATTTTCTTGACTGATTTTGTATTACGTAACTCCAATTACCAATCTTCACCTGTTTAGTTAAAATAACCATAACCAATTGTATTTTTGTTTGACAAACTTAATGTACACATGCATACAAAATAACCCGTACATATATTTGCTATTATACAGATAAGAAAATGAATTCACCGAAAAGAGACTCTTCCCTGAGCTACGTGTTTTGTTTTCATTAATTAGATTAGTTTCGAGTTGCTTGCTAGTGACCAACCTACAGAACGAAGTTTCCCGTAGTTCTAGTGAGGAGTTGTGACCTATGGGCTTCAGTAGGTCTGGTGTGATGAAAAATACTCGTCACTGATGATATTGGCTAGGTGATCGCGCTAAAATTACAAATTGGCAGAAGTTGGAATTCATACACAATGGCCTATGGATCGCGTCCCAGTGGCTTAATGGTCTACGAGCTCGACTTGTAACCGAAAGGTCGTGGGTTCGAATCCTGGTTGGTGGTTGTGTGCTGATGAAGAGTGCCGAACTAGGATGATGCAGTTGTCGCCCTAGATTAGGATCATGGGATTCTGTGGAGATCTGGATTTCGTCATGAACCAATGCCATTTAGAGAGAGATCATTGGAAACTAAGTGGGAGGACTGGATAGCTATTCCGTGTTAGTTTGGGACTTTTCGGCAGTGCACACCAACACCCGAGACTTTCAGGTTAGGAGTCCAAGCTTGTCGGCCTATTCAGACAGTTAGGAAGTGTAAGTAATAATAATTTTACGTTATGTATTCTTATTTGCTGCTTATCAATCGTTAATCGCCTTCTTTTGACACACGTTTAAGTATGTAAATCTAAAAATTGACGTACATCACGATACGATGAAGTCTGTCCATGTGTATCTCTTATACTTGTTTTATGATTCATATGCAATAGTAGCTTATAAGGCTTTCTTGTTTGCTTACTATTGTAGTGTTTTGAATAAACGTGTAGCCGCTTTACAATCTCGACGAAAGAAAGCTGAGGAATTGCTGGCTCTATCGAAAAATTTAGAGCTTGAAGAAGCAGAAGTTGTTCGACTAGAACGTGAAGCATTAAGTGTGAGTTTTATTTTCTTTAAAATTTTTGTTTGTTGGCGAAAATATCCTACAGTTATGTGAATATTTGTGTACTTAACTCTACATGACACATTGTATTGCTGGCAGTATTTGTCTACTGAGAAATGAGTATTCACTGATTCGGGTGGACCAGTGGTTTGGTTTAGTGGTAGGGCACCCGCTAACTAACCAAGTACGTGGTTCAGAGTTCAAATCCCGACCTCGCTAAGGTTGTAGTAGTAAGCCTGGCAAGTTATGAAGTTCAGGGGTGAGGCTAGCAACCTCCCCTGCCCCCCCCCCCGGTAAAATAAAGTCACTGCTACTGAAGCTTGAAGCCCCGTATGTTCCACTGAAAACAGAAAGGAGTATACCGACAGACGGGTTCAAAACCCGTCCCACTTACTGCTGTTTAAGAAACCGGGTGGCATTGACCCGCCACCCATTATTCGGTACACTAAACATGTGGTTGCACTGTATGCTGTTTGGTTCCGTTAAAGGTTAATAATAATAATAATAATCTACTTTATTCCAAAAAGAAGTAGATTATTATACAGAATGGAATTCTCAGCATTTCTCACAATATTGCATCTGATTTACTTAAAATATAAATCAAATTAAAAATTAAAACAAAATTAACCGGAGGAATTTGTCCACATTTATGATATAAAGTCAAAAATATTCGAAGCACAAATTGAGAATATTACATATAATAATAATAACACTGAGTTTGTTTCAAACAGTATTGTCAATTCAATTTGGAAATTTTAGCATGTTAAAGAGTATTGAATCTAATGTTCTGTTGATGCAGTATGGTGAGGGGAAGGACAAATTTAACATTTGTAACACAGCTTAAATTATGTTCACACTTATGAAAAAAATAAACAAAAACAAAAAATTGAGAGGATTATAAATATCAGAAATACAATAACAATGAAGTTTGATGGTGTAAGGGTGTAGGAAGTGGTTTATTTAGTAGTGCAAAGAAAGTTAGTTAGTTCATTTCTGACACTATTTTCATCACATAAAGTACGTGCCAAATACGGTATAGTGGAAGTTTTATACTTAGACGTATGTGCATAAAGTCTTTTGAAATGACTTCTTGTTATACCTGAGGAGACACAAGGTTGGATCTGCTGGTAAAGTGGATGCTCACAGTCTGACGAAAATCCTTTAGCGAATTTGTTGCATTACATCAAATGCCTATCGATGACGATGTCAACGATATGACCCAATGGGATACCACTCGTCCTACTGAAAGTCTTCAGAGTTCTACGAAGTATGACATAGACTTTTTTTAAGCAATCCAGGAAAGAATAAGCAAGGGTGGACAGTAAAGATAAGTATTCGGTTGCAGTGAAAACATTGAATATATATAATTACGTAATGCGACTAATTTAAAAAGTTCGGTTCACACCAAGGAAAAAAAATCAAATGTACTAAGATTCTCACTTAAATGTTGCACACTGTTTTTCCTTTTGAAATAGACACACGGTAATATCGAGCTGGTAAACGGTTAGAAGTGCAAAAAGTGTATGTTCAGGCTTAATGTCTACTGGCTAAAACTGTGCAGCACATGTTAAGAGCTAGAAATTTTAATTTCACTTACTAATTCTTGTCTGTGAAAGAAGAAAAAGACAACATTATTTTGTTACTAAAATGTTTACTAGCTAAAAAAAAACTTGTTCATTTACTTTCAGTTGCTATAGTGACACATTTGAATTAGGTATGCAAAATGATTATTAGCATATATACATATGGTACTATTATATTACTACTTTGGGTTCTAGGTGGAACGCATAGGGCCTTTGAAAGCACATGGCCATTTTGTCCTGTTTTCTGCAGTCCTTTCCATCTGGTTTCTTGATTTCTCATGCACTTTCATCTCCTCCAATGTCACCCTTGGATCTTTGCCGAACTTGTCGCTTCTCATTCGGGTTTCACTCGGCCGATGGCCTGGTGTGTGTGACGTCATCTTATGTTTTCCTCAGAGTGTTATCTGATCCATCTCCATTTTCTTCGGAATGTTTGTTGAACAGTAGGTTCTTGGTTGATTCTTGGTTCGTCCACAGAGTTTCTTGTTGTTAGCCCTCTCTGACTGGCCATCTGATCTTCAGTATAAAGCCAGTGAAGGTGATCTGCTGGAATTACGCTTTGTGACGCGTTGGCCATGTTTCTGAGCCGTATAGAGAGAAGCACTCAATGACTCAACATTTGTATTGACCAGAATCCGTATCTCTTGTTCTTTATGCTGACTGAGTTCAATAGATTTCCAACCTGACTTCAGGGGAATGAAGGTGCGTGTGTTGCCTTTCCAATTCTAGTTTTAACACAGGTTATATAAAGACTGCATGGAGGATTTCATCATGAGCTGTCATCAGTTAGAGAACCACTGGAAAACCTGCAGGGAGTACTGGACAACTGTTTCGTCAGCCTAGTTTGGGACTCTCCATCAGTACGCACCCACCGGGGTTCGAACTCAGAACCTTCTGGTTACAAGGCGGGCTCGTAGACCATTGAGTCATTCCCAAACTAGGACGAAACAGCTGTCCAGTACTCCCGTGTGGTTTTCCAGGGGTTCTCTAACTGATGACAGCTCATGATGAAATCCTCCATGCAATCAAACAAAATTCCTACAAAAGCAATACTTGAAAATTTATATAAAGACAGCATATTTTTCCCCCTAGATAATATTTCTTTTGTTTATCGCAGGAGATGTTGTAGTTTATCGTAAGCGTTCTCTTATTTCTATACTCTGTTTATTTGACAGCTGAAGGTATACACAGCTGCACTAACGGAGAGAAGAATGTTGTACAGTGTCACCTTAGGCGTAAACTTAAGCTCCTTTAGAAGTGTAATTCCAGCGCTACTATTCATTATTTTTTTTTTACGAGTTTGTCACGGATTGATATCAGTTAGAGAACCATTGCAAACCAGCATTGGAGTACTGGGCAGCTGTTTCATCCTAGTTTGGGAATCATCGGCAGTACGCACCCACCACATGGGTTCGAACCCAGGACCTTCCGGTTATAAGGTAAGCTGTATACTATTCAGCCACTGGGACCCGATTCAATGGCCAGCTCATGAATTCTAACTTCTACAAATTCGTGATTTGGCGCGACTGACACCAAACAATGTCATCAGTGGAAAATCCATCCTCACACGTGACATTTGCATGGACCTCACTGGTCATGACTTCTCACTAGAACTCCAGGAAACTGCATCCTGTAGCAGGTCACTAGCGAGCATCAGATTAATTTTCTGTAGCGATCAACTCGTAAAAACGAAACTAACCCTTACAAACCAAACTATAGAATATTATTATTATCAATAAAACTATACATTCCTAACACAGAAATTTAATTTGTTTCCTCACTTTGATGGTGACGATGAATACAGGCCATTCAAAGTAAACGATCAACTCTACGCACCAGTCGATTTACAGAATTCTCCCACTCATCATCGAACAACAGTAGCAAGAAGTCGGGTAAATGTTCAAAATCAGCTCAATGGTCAAAGACAACCGGTGATTCTAAGTATAATAATAATTATAATAGGAGAGGAAGTACAACACATTCTACTGTCAAACAAAGCTCAAACTATACACCTTATACTGATGACGTGAAACTATCATCAAGTCAAGGTTTAAAGGATGAGCAAATATATGAAGCATTTCCTACTGCATCATTGGGGAAAAGTGCGTCTGTATCAGTAGGTGGCAGTCAAATAAAGTGAGTACTTCTGTTGAAATGTAAATTATTTTTCGTCAGATACTGGAAATTGGTATTTCTGGCTGGTGTCTTTATGAATTCAGTGTGGAAATCTAGTCCTTCAGAAGTCGTAGTATTCCCCCCCTCGCACTATTCTTGGTCAGCTTCTTTATTGATTTTTGTACACTATACTACTTCAAAAAATATCGTTTTTAGTGAGAAATGCGTAACAGTTTCTCTGATTGCCAGTTTTCGAGTCAGCCAAGAGATCACCTCTTTTCGTAACTTCATTTCAAAGCTGTACAGTTATTTATCTATGCATGCAATGTAGATGAACAACAAAGGTGAGAGGTTATTATCGGTTAGTAACAGAGTTAACCAAAGTATATGAGTAATGAGGATTGATAAGGCTTTGACTGCATGAAGAAGAAGAAGACGTAGACGAAATCCTTTCAAACGACTTGACCGTACTTTATATATGACTCTCAAAAAAGAAGTCTCCTCAAATGCTACATTACCAGAAGTAATAATATGCTCTAGAATTGAGATGTTGACTGTTCTACATTCTCTTTTTGACAGTCGTGCCGGTAAGTGTTCATAGGCACGTCTAGGCAATGTCCTACTGGCACGGTACGACGTATGTACTTAACTCCTCCATAGGAGCAAGTGAATTGGTAAATGCTCATTAAAGTTGCCAACAACAGTGGGATCTTGTCTTTGAAGCCGTGGTAAAGAAATTCATTGGTAGCGAAAGTGAGGCGTAGGCATGCAGCGGAGAACGTTCTTCGAATCGGTCTCGACAGGCGCTTCCGGAGAATCTCAATAATTGTGTATGTCCCTTGAATTTCAGATTAACAATCAGTTGTGTTTCGTCGATACATTCGGGTTTTGACGAACACTGGTGTCTTTACCTTTAGCTATTTATTGATGAAGGAGGTTGGATATCGATTTTTGACTAGAGTTTTGCTAAAGGATTCCAATTCCTTATTCCATACATCTTCAGTGCATAAACGGTAGGGTTTCTCTTTTTCTGCTCATTGAGACAAAACCGTGATAGTTTGTCAGCTGTCCATTCCATTTTGGCTTGCAGTAGATTGCTCTTTATAGGCTTCCATTCGATCTTCGTGTGAGTTGAACATATAGGAAGGATAATTTATCTTCTGATTCCGTGTCAATTTCGAATTTTGCTGAAATTCTAATTTGAATGTAAAATTTAAGTCCTTTGATTATCTTACTCATGAGTAGTTCGTGAATACGTCCGAAAATAATTTTACGAAACCTTAATTTTAATTTTCAAGGGTAACCTGTGATATCCAATCTAGAGTTATGGTGAAATATTATGGTTACAAGAGACTGACTGACTTGTTTTTAACATTGAACTCTGCACATATGTTAAGCAGTTCGAGTAACCACTCTCCATGTATCACACAAAGTAAGAGTGAGGAGAGATTCAAAGGAGAGGTAATAAGAAAAAAATAGTAATATGAAACAACAGTGCGTCGATGGCACAGTGGTAGAGTGCTCACCGACCACGCATGTGGTCCGGGGTCCGATCCACGGCCGACGCACTCACTTACCTTGATAAGCCAGTAATAAGACTGGTAAAGAGGGAAGGTTTGGCATGAGGCTGTAGCAACCCCATCCCATAAAAATAAACACCACTGTCACTGAAACTTTAGAGCTTTGGCTTGAAGTCCTATGTTCCACTGGGAATAAAAAAAATATGGAAGCACAATAGAGTTTCATTGGCTATTATAAATCACAAAGAGTGAATGCATCTGCGCCATCATCGAGAACGACTTTCAGTCATATCACCGACTGTCTCCAACCTTCATTGGTTTTTAGAATCCCGAGGACCCCGACCTGTCAAGCATTCTACACCCTCCTACTTGGCTTAAACTAACTGTTATGGATTTCATTGACTGATGAAACCATGTTTTGGTTTAAACACTACTAGCTCTTTTCCAACGTGATCCATCCTACGTCAGCTAACACTGTTAGCCGAGGAAGGTGATGACCAGACATACGTAACACATGCCCTAGCCATCTCAATCGATGCAGCTACTTCACAACCTCATCAATTGATTTTCTCTCACGATGATCCCATTTGGAAATACTTATGATTTGGTGAATGTATTTCCTAAGTAACATTTGTTTCTGTCTTCTGTCCGTGAAAAATGCCTTAATAAGGTTTGTTTGTGCTAATTATTTGAATTATTGTGTATTTCTATCAAACTGTTTCTTAATAACTGTGTTGTTTGAAGTTGATGCATTTGTATCTTTGCATAATATCTCTTCTTCTTTTTACCTTTTTTTTCAACAGTGTGAATACTGCTTCTGACAGTTCAAGTGCACGAACAATCTCTAGTGCAACAGATATTAAATACTGCAAATCAGATTCAGATTCCTCTCGATCTGCTGCTGCTGCTTCACATTCTACAAGGTTTAATTCTCATCGTTCAATTGACATGCTGCATCAATCAAAATCGGCTCAACAAAATGAAGTGCCATTAGCCAATCTAAGCATTGATAATGATGATATTGGTCGAGGATCGAAAAGCACAGGGAATAGTATCTCCAAAGTTGATAATGCAGGTATTTGCCTCCTTTTTATTTTTATTGGTGTTTAAATATTAATTTTATACATGTTTCATTGCATTTTGACATCATTGTCTTCTTGAAATAATTTAGTTAGCCATTGAGAACGATTTTGAGCCAAATCACCAATTGTCTCCAACCTTCATTAGTTTTTAACATCCAGAGGACCCCAACCAGCCAAGCAGTTTACACCTTCCTGCATGACTGGCTTAAACTAACTGTTATGGATTTCATTGACTGGTGGTTTGTTTTGGTTTGACCGCCTCTATCTCTTTTTCAGCCTGACCCTATGTCAGCTAACATTGCCCATTGTTGAGGAAGGCGATGACTGGGCATACGTAACACACGTGTCCTAACCATCTCAGTCGATGTAGCTTCACAAACTCGTAGATTGATTTTCCCTTCTTACCTAGCCTAGCACTCGAGTGACGTCTAACCTCAATATTGCTCACCTTATTATACCACTTCACACGTGAGATAGAACGCAGGCATCGACGTTCAAAGACATCTAGCCGGCCTTTTCATGTCTTGCACTTTCAATGGCCAGGTCTCAAAGCTAGCCATAAAGGAGGACGGAGCGGACTGATGAGCAGTACACACGTCCTTTGGTTGATAGCCAGCCGGATATCACGTCTACTAAACCAGAGGCGGCGTAAACTGGCACATGTGAAACTAGCCCTCTGTATCCGTGCTGAAATTTCATCAGAGATCAACCCGTTGGCACTTGCTGATGCAACTTCCCGAATAAGTGAAGCGGTCAATGTGCTCTACCACTTCACTCCCTATTTCTAAACTAGGAGTCAGTGTTACTTTATACTTATCATTTGTAACTTTCTCCTCATCGTTTTCCGGAATGATGGCTAACGAAATCTCACCAGGAACATAAAATTTCGTATGAAAGAAAACATTCTCCGCGTTTACTTGGAGTAACAGTGGGCAGAATGAGTCTATTGGAAACATCATTACCTTACTGGGTGATTTTGAAGTATACTTGTGGTGAGAGCTGGCTGTGAGCAAGCCAAAATTGATGACAGTTTTTTACGTCAGTTTTACCTCCCGAATCCGGATCATGAGATATAACAATAACAAAGCTTAACCTTGAGGAACTCATCAACCAATTACAGCAGACTTAGCGTGTACAAAAACACGATTGGCAGATATATAGCTTAACTTTCTGAGAAACGGTTACAAGCAGTACAGAATAACCTACAGCAAGAAAGCAAGCAATCAGAAGAGATTGCTTCTCCGCTGACAATAATGTACATAAAAATCTATAAATATCTGTTGATTTTCTCAATAAACGGTCTATTGCCTAGCCGTTGTCTTCTGTCGTTACATACTGATTAAATTGAGTAGTGTAATGCCTTTCGTGTTACATTGTGTAGAAAGATTTCCTCTGATTCTTAAAATATTATTATTATTCCCGTGGATTCTGAGTGGAACGTAGAGCTTCAGCAGCAAATCTGCATTCCACCTTGTCCTCTGCACTCTCATTTAGCTTGTCTCCACGATAACCCATTTGCTTTCATCGCCTCTATGTCACCCTCAGACTCTCGACTCATCTTTTTCCACTTGTTGGCCTAGTCGGCCCGTAATGTCTCTCAACAATCTCCTTGGGTGTGTGTGTCTGATCAGTCTGCATTCCCTTCGGTGTATTTGTTAGACAGTGGGTTCTTGTTTTTACGAGTGGGTCGTTTCGTTCTCAGATCTCCTTCTTTTTAGTCCTTCAGTATATGGAGCTGGCGAAGGCGCACAGCTGTTAATAAAAATTTTCCAGTGGCCTGTTGAAATTGCTTTTCTTGACACACTAACTTTCTGAACCATTGACACTAGTGATGAAAATCCGGATCTTGTTGGTATTTTCTGAGTACAGCAGATTGCTGCATTGATTTCACAGAGTAATGAAGGTTTGTCTCTCGCTTTTGCGCGTGGGTCGCTATTCCCAGACTTAACCCTCCCTGTTTTCTTTTTCCCGAACTTACGATAGGCTAGTAAATACGGTTAGTGAGCTGATTTATTCAGTCATTCACGGTAGTGACTGAATATCCATTTAAGTAGTATGTTTACTAGTATGTGAAGAAATGTACTCACCTTTTAGGTATTCTAGGCAATTTTTTAATATTTCCGTAATTTTTTGTTCCCCCTCCCCCCACCGTTTTTCATCTTTCTTTGATTCTTAAAGTTCGCTGTTACGAAGTGTCATAAAATGAATTGATACCCTACAGTGCCAGCCATTACTTTCATTGCTTTGTATGTTTATCTTTGGATAGTTGAAAATATGCCGGCTGTAGAAATCAAATCTGCACCAGGTTGATTCGTTCATTCACTGATTCATGCCTAACCAATCGGTAGAGAGATTATTTGACAGGATTATATTCTGAGCACACAGTATTTATACCCTAAGGGGAATATTAGTGCTGGCATGATATTTCCTCTCCGTCCAAGGTGTTCGGATAAAATATAAAATTGATGGTAGATCCTGTGATGTACAGTACCGTCTGACCTGAAGCGTAAAACAATCCATTATGACATCCTTTCCTTGTCTCCTTAGAGAAATGCACAACGTTTGGTGGAAAGCTAGTGGTAACACGTTCAGGAGTAGATTTTGAGACCCAATGACATAACTTAGGAACAGTTATCTCATGTATTGGAATACCCCTCTCCCCTACGATTACGGTTTTTCTCAAATTTAGCGGAAACTTCTGAATCAGCAGACTGTAAACATTAAATACTCGTGAGAGTAAATAATACCATGTCTTAATCGATTAGGACAAAGTGAACAGAAGAAATTTCACGCAATATATTGATGAGAGGGGGGGGGGGTTGGTAGCCACCGGTAATCTTTGTGTTTCGGCTTTGGTGAACATGTACTTTCAAGTATTTGTTTTCTAGGGAATTTTGTCTGGTTGTTTGGAGGATTTCACCATGAACTGACATCATTTAGAGAACCATTAGAAAACTTGAGAGTACTAGACAGCCGTTTCATCCTACTGTGGGACTCTTCAACAGTATGCACACACCGGGGTTCGAAGCTAAAACTCATGGTCCATTGGGTCGGGTCCCAGTCTACGAGCTCGCTTGGTAACCGGAAAGTCCTGGGCTCGGACTCTGGCGGTGAGTGCTTACTGATGAAGACTCCCAAACTAGGACGACACACCTGTCCAATGGTTCTCTAACTGATGTCAGCTCACGACGAAATCCTCCAACCAATTGAACATGTATTTATTTCACTGTGTTGGCTTTTCTCATAGATAGATATTTCTAAGTTCATTATCAATATTATCAATATTAATTGGAGCTTATCAACCTTTTGTTTACAGTTGAGACTACACCAACATTACGACGTCTGCTGCCTTGTGAAATTGGTTCTCCGTTAGACCGGACAATGACACCCAGTTCCCGGCATTTACGTCAACGTTCTAATTCTCATGATTCTGGTCGTCGAAAGCGTGTTACTGTCCCGAATTCAACTGATTCCCTGGATGATGAAGGTCGTATGTATGTTAGTGGTGTTGGTGGTGGTGGTGCAGATGATGAACCCTTCTCTACGATGTCTGCAAATTCACACTCAGATTTGAGTGAATTGGAATCACGAATTCAAGCGTTGAATTCTAATTTAAAGAAACAAGAAGGTATTCTTTCGCGTATCAATCTAGAATATAAACGTGTGCATAAGGATCGGCTAGCCAGACTGGAATCCACACTGTTAAAACACAAACAAGTAAATTTCAATTCTTATTTATTTATTGATTAATTTGTTATTATTTGATTTTATTGCATTCTGAGTGTGGAACATAGGGCTTCAAGCTTGAGCTTCGCAGTTACGGCGTGGAGTCACTAGCCTCATGCCCAACCTCCCTCCTCTCTTTACCCGGGATTACAGTCAGCGGCAACAGTGAAGAATAGACACCACAGTCAACTGACCTTGAGCGAGCCAATCAGATCTCTCAGCATTACAAATTGGTGTTTTTTTATAATCTTCTCTGCTAGTTTCATCCTACCTCTCCCAGTGTTAAGCTTAGGATAGAATTAAGGTGGGGAACTTTTAAAGAAGATTATGAAAATCATGTATTTGTTATGCTGAGTTATAAGATTGGCTGGTTCAAGGTCATTTGACTTTGGTCCCTATTCTTTACTGTTGCTCTTTACCGGCTAAGCGAGGTTTAAGGAGTGAGTCGACTGGGGATTGAATCCCGGACCACATGGGACGTCGTTAATAATAATAAAGCTTTAAGTGTTGGTTTGTTGAGATTTGATTGGTTTCAGGATTTCATCATGAGCTGACATTAGTTAGAGAACCATTGGAAAACCTGGGAGTACTGGACAGCTGTTTCGTTCTAGTTTGGGACTCTACAGCAGTACGCACCCACCGTGATTCGAACTCTGGACCTCCTGGTTACAAGGCGAGCTTGTAGACCATTAAGCCACTGGAACCCGATCCAATGGTCAGTCCATGAATTCCAACTTCTGCCAATTCACGACATAGCGCGACCGCTAGCCAATGTCTTCGGCGAGTATTTGTCCTCACACCCGACCTGCTGCATCCTACTGGTCATGACTTCTGACTAGAACCCCAGGTAACTACCTACCTACCTGGATAGGGCAAGTCGCTGGTGAGCATCTCATGCTATATCGCTCTATGTCGTGAATTGGCAGAAGTTAGAATTCATGCACTGATCATTGGATTGGGTCCCAATGGCTAAATGGTAAACGAGCTGGCCTTGTAACCAGAAGGTCCTGGGTTCGAATCCTGGTGGTTGCGTACTGCTGAATAGTCTCAAACTAGACTGGGGGGGAACAGCTTTCCAGTACTCACAGGTTTCCCAGTGGTTCTCTAACTGATGTCAGCTCATGATGAAATCCTGAAACAATGTTTTATTTCAGACAATATGTAAACATACACTACCGAAGTTTTCAGCGTATTTGGTTCCAAAATATCTCCTCTTCATACGGGATTTATATATAAAGTTATAATCTAGAGTATATCATCTAAGACGTAGCTTTTTTACGTATGAAGAGAGAACTAAATCAATAGACATTTTCCTCATTTTCTTCAAGAACTGCACAGTGTTTCGTTGAAAGCTAATTAAATATGTGCGTGAGTTCATATAGCTGTAACAAGAGAAGACAAGGGCCAGGCAACATATCGTTTATTAAGGAAATCAACAGATATTTATAGATTTTCATGTACATTATTATAGATTATTGTTAGCAAACAAACACAGTCTTCCGATTGGTTGTTTCTTGATGAAAGTTGATCTTTCATCTCTTTGTGACCGTTTGTTGAAGTTCAGATTATCTATCTGCAAATTGTATCCGCCTACACAAAGTCTGCTTTGATTGTTTGTTGAGTCAGTCTTTGTTCTTATTTTTATCATGACCAACATTGGAAACGTAAACATTGACGTAAATTACTATCTACTAATTTTGGCTGGCAATCAGCTCTCACCACACTCGTCCCCCCGTCAAAGACTTGCGACTGAAGTTGGTTCTTGGGGCTTTGCTCTTTTGTCTTGTTGTCTGGAATCTCGGCGCTCACTGATTTTCACCTGTTTCTCTTTGTTTACCATTGCGATTGTGTCTGCGTAAACCCATCTCAAAGTGAGCATACGTGGTCGTTGGCACTTTGGAAACTGTTTGCCTGACCCTCTGGCACATTTCTCGGTATTTCGCCTCACACTTTCATATGCTACTTCCTCCCGACCCACACCAGTGGTTTAAAAATTCATGTTCATTCATCTCAACGTGTGTTCAGCATTCTCCGACAAGTATCTTTCAGTAATTATTGTTAACAGTAAAAATAAAGCATTATATTCGGTAGAAGGCGAAAGATATATCCTCAGATGAGGAGACACCAGAGTCGGTGGCACAGCGGTAGAATGCGTTGGCCGACCACGCGTCATGTGGTTCGGGGTTCGATCCTCGGCTGACGCATACTGCCTTACCTCTCCCACTACGCCAGTATTAAGACTGGTAAATAGAGGTAAGGTTGCGGGGGAGGGAGCATGAGGCTGGCTAGCAATCTCATCCCGTTAAAAATAAATAAACGCCACTCTGCTACTGAAAAATCACAGCTCTAGCTTGTTTGAAGCCCCTATGTTCCACCACTGGGAACGTAAAGGAATACAAAAAAAAATAATCTCCTTTGCATTACTGTCGTTAGAAGGTTATTATTACTACACACTAGCCTCTAGTGACTGCTGCATACACATGCTTTTGTTTTTATTTCATGTAACCAACTATTTCGATGATTATCGATCGGTCTTCCCACCTAGCTGATGAATACATCTCAACACTTTTTGTTTTCAATATAGCAAAAATATTTATTCAGACCTCTATAAAACACAAAATAATTGAGCAAGGAATATCCTTTTCGATAATTTCCTCTTCTGATGTTCGGAAATTTGACGAGAAACATACCTAATTGTACGGCCTATGCAAGTAACTGGCTCACTCCACAGGAGCAGTTAAATTGATAGATACACATGGAAGAGGCGAAATTAGGCAGTTTGTCTTTTATTCCCGAACGCAGAAGAGGAGTGGTTTTAAAGATACAGCGTAATTCAGCAGCATGGATTGCTCTTTTTACCGCATTTCCAAGGCGCTGGGTTAGTATCTCACTGGTGTTGTCTCCTAGGAACTGCATCTGTAAGAATAAGGCGTTTTTTGGAACTGTTGGTAACTTGGACTGTTTTGGTTTCTCAGATTCATATTCTTATCAATAAACTTTTCAGGATAACCATTCTCAGTTAGCAACGCTTTAATATTGTTAAGTTCCTCGTCAAGACATTCATCCGAGCAAATCTCTCTTGCTCTGTGGACCAAGCACTTTATCTGATTGCGTTTGTATTTCAAGGACACGAAGCTGAGAAAATGTGTGTACTGACCCGTTGATGTAGGTTTTCTATAAACACTTCTTCTTATTGTACCATCCTCTTTTCTGGTCATAAGGACGTCTAAAAATGAAATACTAGAGTCTTTTTCTTTCTCAATAGTAAAATTTAATGCAGGATGAACCTCATTAAATTTATCCAGGATGCTCTTTGCCTCCTTTTCGTTCTTCATAATCAAAAAAGTATTATCCATGTACCGACAATAAAATTCGAGTTCATTAATAACATCCTTCAAAGCCCATTTTCTAGTTTCTCAAGGAAAATGTTGGCTAGAATGGGTCCTAGTGGTGACCCTATTGCCACACCATCGATTTGTCTATACAGTTCCTTATTAAATAAAAAGTGGACATTCATTGTACATTTCAAGAGAAGCTCTTTCATAAAAGATATAGGAATGCCAACATCGATGTTTCGTCTTTTGAGTTCTTCGCATATAAAGTCCACTGTTTCCATAACAAGGTACATTGGTAAATAAGGAAAATGCGTCAAATGTTATCATGAATTTATTATCAACATTTAAATCATCTCTTATCCTTTCAACAAATCCAAAAGTATCCTTTACACTATGTCTCACCAACTTTTTGTTTTCTTCTTTTTCTTCACAGTTATGCACAGAGATAATTGCAAATATCAAAGCTGATTTAGACGTGTGTAAAGCATCAATTTGCAATGAATCTGGTGATTATTCACATTCAAAATCAATCAATAATTTAGCTATTACAACAAATACTACTACTGTTGATAATCTTTCTGGCATTTCACCATCAAAATCCCTAAATAACAATCTAACACTAGGTGATAATTCCAATGAAAATAATATCTCTTGTTCATTACAAATACTTGATAAAATTCCTACATCTAGTCATACTATCCCAGATGATGTTGATGAACGTTTCACGCCTACAGCTACGCCCACGCCTACAAAAGATGAAGAAACTGAACCGGATACATTGATTTCAGTAGCTGAAGAATTGGTTTCACCACAGGATACTGATGATGAATTGAATCAACTTGATTTAGACGATGATGATGATGATGTTGGTGATGGCGACGACTCTTCTCGTAAGACACCTGTTGCCGGTCAGGCGTCTACCTCCAGTTCACCGGATGAAAATAAGACAATCTCACCTCTGCCAAATGCAAATGTTTCCATATCTAATGAGGAGAACAAACAACAACAGCAACAAGAAATCGTCAACTGTGAAGTATTAAAGCCACCAAGTTCTGTTTCACTGTCGATTTCTCCTCATCCTCCTCTTCCGCCGTCGCCGCTGCCTACTACTACTGATACATTTTGTACAGATGTTCAACAGGCCACCTCTCAAGTTAGTGATTCTAAATCTATTTCACACAATACCGATAATGATGATCATAACGAAGAAGTTAAAAGTAATAATGTGTCATTCATCAAGTATCCAACTGAATCTCTTCTAATATTTGATGATGTCAAAGTCGATGATGTTGATGTTGATGGTGCATTTCAAGCTAAACATGCAGCAGCTACTATTGAACAAACAACTACTAGTCAGGATGAATTTGCAAATTTACTGCAAAAACACAACTTGTCTCCCTCTAGTCGAATATGTTCAGAAATTGTTGACAATAATAAAAGGTACGTTTACTATTGTTTAATGATTACTGTTAATAATGATTTTTTTTCTCCTTCTAAAAAATGATTACTTTTCAATCACTCGAAATGGCTAGCGGTCTTTGATCATAGGTGTTTGTGTTCTATCTCCTGTGTTAGGTAGTATATTATTATTGTTTCCTTTAGTTCCTAGAGGAACATAGGGATTCAGCTGCACGTCTCCATTGCGTTCGGTTCTCTGCTAGAGTCTTCAACTGGCTCCAAGTCTGCCCACACGTTTTCATCTCCTCTTCACATGACCTCCTCCAAGTCACCCTCACACTGACGACCAACTCGCCGCTTCCCATTCAGTCGGGTTCCACTCGAGCAATGGCTTGTCTAGTGATGTTACTTGATGGTTTCCTCAGAGTAAGGCCAATCCAATCCATCTCCATTTCTTCCTGCCTATTTGTTTCACAATCGGAGAAATGAATGAAAATGGAGAACGCTTCGCCGACTTCTGCGTCTTCAATGAACTTTGTTTACAGGTTGGGGTTGCTAGCCTCACGCCTGAGAAGGGTATTCTTATATTAAAATATCGTTTATAGAGGAGCGGCCTTGCGGGTTGCTCCCCTGAAAACCAGGAAAGCGAGGAATAAAACAATCAGAACAACACCAGCACAGGGAAATAATTCACAACAACAAGAAGGGTAACAAGCGACAACAACAATAATAATATCACAGTCAAGTACAGTTAACCAAAATGATACCAAAATCATAGACTCACTAACTTGAGCCAACTTGAACATGTAAATCCATCAATATATACAATTATAGATATTAGTTAGTGTTAAGCAAGTACAGAGCGGCAAATAGATAGTTATAGGTATTATCCAACAACAAAGTTTATATCCAAAGATTCAGTGTTTCAAAGGTGAATAATTGCAATAGTTTTTTGCAACTTTTTGGCAAGATATTCCACAAAAATAAGAGTTTTAGGTGACTATTTAAATGTAACGTATTAATCGTAAAGCGCGTCAAGGTCAAGGTCCGTTAACTTTGGTAGTATATTAGGGTGAGCAGTATTGATGTTAGGCATCAATTACTAGGCTAGGTAAGGAGGGGGAACCGATTGACGAGGTTGTAAAGCAGCTGCATCGATTGAGATGGTTAGGATATGTGTTGTGCATGCATGCCTAGCCATCCATCGCCTTCCTCAACCGACGGGCAATGTTAGCTCACATAGGATTAGGCTAGAAAAAGGCTAGTGGTGGTCAAAACAAAACACACAATCAGTCCACAAGATCCACTACAGCTACTTTGAGCCAGTCACGTAGGCAGGTGCAGACTGCTTGGTGTCTTCAGGATGGTAAGAACCAATGAAAGCTGGATAATATTGGTAATATGGTCCAAAATCGTTCTCAATGGCAGTGCAGATGTATTCCCTCTTTGTTATGATTTTTTATATCCAATAGAACTCTATTGTTTCTCGTATTCCTGTTCTTTTTCCCTCACACTTCTGTTTATTATCTCTCTTTTGAACCTCTCTTCACTCTCTTGTCTTGCTTTATGTGCTACATAGAGGGAGAGTGTCGACTCAGACTGCTGAACATCTGTGAAAAGTTCTATGCTGAAACCAGTCAGTCAGTCAGTCGGCTTTTTGGCCATTCGCTTCATCCTGTGGTTTTTGACAGCTAAACAAAAGTGAAATTAAGACCACCACATTAATTTGTTTATTGGCTGTGTTACACAGTAAAACAGTTTTATTAACTAGATAACGAAGTTTAGAACACAATTTATTGTTCATAATCATATCACCTACTGTAGCCACACAACTTCAGAACCTTCGTTTTTGAGTATTCTGTATTCCATTCTATTCGTTGTCCTAGGGATAGTAGGATTTTCCAGATGCCTGGGTGAAAATGTGTTGAATCATTCCTATTGCACGTATTTTCAGTTGATTCGATAAACAAAGCTTCCGTTGTTATCAATCTGTCCCTCCACCCTGTTGTTACATTAGATTTTAAACCTGTCATCTTATCCCATCCATCCTATTGTATGGTTGTGTGTAATTGCATGTAGTGAGTGCTATAGCTGAACTATTTGCGTCAACCAATCTAGATTTTGCTAGGATTTTGTTCTATGCTAGTCTGACTGCCCCTGTTCTACTACTTTGACCTATGTATTTGACATGACAATCATTGTAGGTAGTGTATTAGATAAATTAAATTGTTTTGTTTAACTGTCTCCGCAGGGTTGATCCTTTAACCGACAAGACTTGTTTTTGAGTGAGTTTGGGGTGGGGTGGTAATTGACTGCCTGGTTAAGAATCCTACGTAAAGATTCTGAGGTTCCTTCTTTGTATAGAAGTACTACTGATGATGTGAATTCCCTATTGTTGGTGTTGTCAGTATCCTGCGCATGTTTGTTATGCATGTGTAACGGAAAAATGCTTCAACCCATTTTCATCCGGACATGTGGAAAATTCTACTGTCCTTGGGGCAACAAATAGAAAGGAATACAGAAAACTCTAAAACGAAAGTTTTGAATTTTTGTAGTTACAGTTGACGATGTAATTTATGAACAATGAATTGTGTTCGAAACATTGTCATCGAGTGTGACATATCTAATAAGCAAATTGATATGGAATTACAAACCACACCACTAGGCTAAAGTTTTACACATATATGAAATTAAGACTTGTTTGGTAACCGAGTCTTGTAGTTGAATCGGTAGAGATGTGTACGTACAGCTGGTTATCTGGAAGCCTCCGGTTTAAATTCTACTGCCACTTTAGCCTTTACTCCACTTTGTTGATTATTCTCCATTAGATGATTATCGGTGAAGTGATGGATGCTCATCGAAGGCATTTGTGTGAGAATAGCACCATATCATGAGTTTACAAAGTTGATAAAAGGGGATGTTGATCAGGAGGGTTTCGTGTGCTTTTGGAAGTGTGTGGGTGGCTGTTACTTCCCAGCTACCCACACCCTTGAAGCTGATTTTCTCTTGGGGTACCTAAAACAGAAAGAGGATATTAGTGTTGCATGACCATGGAGTCAAGGCGACAACTGCTTGAGGCCGGTCGTTCACACACACACGGTCTATTTAGATTGGTTTTTCGAGTTCTTTCTGTATAAGAAGCTTACCGATAGACCTACGGACTACTGTAGGGTAGGTCGGGATGTACAATTTTGGCGTCGACCTTTTTCTAGCCTCCTCTCTTCAGATTGGAGAGGTAGTTTTGGTGACATAGTGGTCATCTGAGGGAGACACCTTACTGTTGTCGCATTCCTATTCCTCAGCATAGTGTAGAAAGACCTTCACTATGCCGGAAACTGCTTTTAGTCTAATCGCTATCCTAACAATCCTCCTGCCTTGCTAGGACCAGCCAGTGTACCTTGTTAGGTCATTGCGATATGCAAGCCGGGCGACCCCCATTTCGAAATAGCACTGACTGGTTTCAACGTACAACTTGGTACAGATGTGTAGCAGTTCGAGTCGACACTCTCCTTCTATGTAGCACACAAAGCCAGAGACGAAAGTAAAAAAGGAATGCAAAATAGAGACAGTAAACAGAGATATGAGGCAAGAAGAATAGTAATATCGAGGAACAATATAGTTTTATTGGGTATTATAAGTCACAAAGAGTGGATGCATCTGCGCCAGACATTGAGAACGATTTTGACCCTTAGCACCAATTGTCTCCAACCTTCATTGGAATTTACCACCCCTAGGACCTCAACCAGGAAGTCTACATCTCTTTACGTCATAGGCTAAAGCTAACTGTTGTGGATTTCATTGACTGATGAAGCCATGTTTTGGTTTGACCACCGGTGCCTCTTTTCCAACCTGAACGGTCCTAAGTCAGCTAACATTACCCGTTGTCGAGGAAGGCGATGGCTAGAAATGAGGGATGTCATTGAATTCCAGCCTAAGTAATTGACTGACTGACTGAATGGTCAACGAGAGGTTAGTCTCATAACCTGAATGCCTCGGGTCCGATTCCCAACTACCGGTGGTGGTGGGTCGTGGGTATGCATTGGTGAAGAGAGTTCCAAGGTGGTGGGACAAACCACCCATCCAATGCTCCTTGGTTTTCAAACAACTCTAAGTATGCTCATTATTTATCTGAGTATCTTTCAGAAGCGTTGACCGCTTCACTTACTTGGGAAGTACCATCAGCCAACGCCAACGGGTTGATCTCTGACGAAATGTCAGCACAGATACAGAGGGCTAGGTTCGCATATGCCAGTTTACGCCATCTCTGGCATAGTAGACGTGATATCCGGCTATCAACCAAAAGACGTGTGTACTGCTCAGCAGTCCGCTCCGTCCTCCTTTATGGTTAGCTGTGAGACCTGGCCATCGAGAGTGGAAGACATGAAAAGGCTGGCTAGCTGTCTTTGACCATAGGTGCCTGCGTTCTATCTCCCGTGTGAAGCGGTATAATAATGTCAGCAATATTGAGGTTAGGCATTGGTCGAGTGCTAGGTAAGGAGGGTAAATCAGTCGACGAGGCTGTGAAATTACATCGACTGAAATGGTTAGGACATGTGCTACGTATGCCTAGTCAACGAGCAATATTAGCTGATATAGGGTCAGTCTGGAAAAGTGCTAGTGGCGGTCAAACGAAAACATGGCACCAGTCAATGAAATCCATAATAGTTAGTTTAAGCCAGTCACGTAGGAAGGTGTAGACTTCCAGACTGGTTGGGGTCCTCGAGACGGTAAAAACCAATGGTTGGAAACAAATGGTGACATGGCTCAAAGTTATCGTTCTCAATGGCTAGTGCAGATGCATCCACTCCTTGTGACTTATGATTTCCAATAAAACTATATTGTTCTTCGTTATTACTATTCCTTTGTCTCACACCTCTGTTTACTGTCTCTATTATGCATCTCTTCTACTTTCTTCTCTTGTTTTGTGTGCTACATGGAGGGATTGTGGGCACTTGAACTGCTGCACATCGGTGCAAAGTTCTATGTCGAAAATAGACAGACAGACCGATCTTTCAGAAGCTCATAGTAAACTCAGCCTTAAA